CAGAGCTCTTTGCTCTTCTTGCTCAGGTACCATGCACTTTGTTGGTGTGGAATTTAGGCACACAGGGTTGGATCTTCAAACCCAGTTACTTGTTGACAATAAGCAACATCTCTGTCCAGTTTAGAAGGGACCACAGAACATCTATTTCACATTCCACAAACACACTTCCTAGCACTTTCTTGTATATTTCATATGTGAATCAAGAGATTCAAAACAATACCGTGCTACAGAAAGAATCAGAAACTGACAGCATCAACATCAAGTAAATCTTTGAATTGGCAGAACATTAAAAAACATAGATGATCCTCACAGAGGACCCTAAAAAATTCCCTATCTCATGTGGTTGAAAATTCTTTTATGGTCCCAAAGTAAGTTTGATCAATTCAAACAGGGGAATTTAATATCTCTAGGAAGGTGAACACACAATGCCTGCATTTTGCCTCAGCATCTGTTAGTGTTCAGTACTTAGGGGTTCTAAGAACCCCTCTATCAAGGAGAAGAAGTATTTTTCTGGGTGCTATAGGTGACTAGCAAAAGCCCTGAAGTATGAGATTCATGTAAGGGAAATATGGCATAATCTATAGTCTCTCCTTTCAAAATCCCTTGAATATGCCAATATATAGACACCCAAAGCCTTCGCCAATATATAGACACCCAAAGGTTTCTACCACAGACATAATTTATTGTCTCCGGGAAATCTGTTTTAATTATGCAATTTTTGAAGTTCCATTTTTAAATAGTTCAGGTTCCTGGCTCACACTATCCTATCTGGAAGACCATTTCAGAACCTTACTCTTTGAATGGTTAGGAAAACTTACTTTCCATTCCAAATTTAAGTGATATGTATCCTTTATCTTTAACAGCTTCTATCCCTCTTTGATATATATCCCCTGAATTTATTTATAAAGGGAAATCTCCTCACAGCCTTTATTTGCCTAGACTAAATCAAACTTCTTTGTTCTCTCCACCTAAAGACAGATATTCCATTCTCTCCTTCATCCCAGGAGCCTGAGAACTGCATCTGTTCCAAATTAAGTTTATCTTTCTTGAGCACAGATGACCAGAACTGTACAGAGTATTCCAAATGAAGACTTAGCAGCATTTTATAAAACAATACAAACATTTTCCTCTCTCTACTAAAAATATCTTTTCTAATATTCCCTAGAACAGTATTAAGCTTTTTCATAGCTGTATGAAATGAATGAATACTGGTAGCTTAGAGTCACCTTTTGATTTACCATATAATTCACATCTTTCTTTTTTCCTCCCGTTGCCTCAAACTGATGCAAAACAACTATAGAATTAGAAGCTATTTTTTACACCTCGCTACTTTGCTCCAGCTGACATTCTTTCTGAGGTGTGCCTCTCATACCTCCATTTGCTTTCATGTTCCTCTGCATCCTGCTCTTTATTAAAATTGGGGGGATGGAACACCTCTCCTGTGAAGAAAGGCTGAGAGAGTTGGGGTTGTTCAGCCTAGAGAAGAGAAGGCTTCAGGGAGACCTTACTGCAGCCTTTCAGTACTTAAAGGGGGTTTATAAAAAAGATGGCGGCAAACTTTTTAGCAGGGCCTGTTGCAACAGGACAAGGGGGAATGGCTTTAAACTAAAGGGGGGTAGATATAGACTAGATAGAAGGAAGAAATTTTTTATGCTGAGGGTGGTGAAACACTGGAACAGGTTGCCCCGAGAGGTGGTGGATGCCCCATCCCTGGAAACATTCAAGGTCAGGTTGGACGGGGCTCTGAGCAACCTGATCTAGTTGAAGATGTCCCTGCCCACGGTAGGGGGGTTGGACTAGATGACCTTTAGAGGTCCCTTCCAACCCAAACTATTATATGATTCTATGATTCTTTTGATATTTACCCTTTTCTTCTTCTGTCCATATATGTCAGCTTCTCAAATGGACCAAGTAGTCTAAAAAGAGAAGGGATCTCCTGTCAGAATGTGTTACAATTTTTTTATTCTGTAGATTGAAAGGGAAACATTTAATCCTTAAGATCCTTAAGAACAGTTGACTAAATTTGATGACATCTGCCCTAATCAAACAGGGACAAACTCCAAACCTAACTAATAGGGAAGGCATCAGATAGCAACTTTCAATTTTTATTTAAAGATCTCATGGAGTGGATTGTATTGTGTTTCACTTCTCTCATCCAATATATATATATGAGAAATTCAGTTCCCCACATAATTTTTATTCTGTACCAATCCATACCTCTAAATAAGATCTCACATACCACATTACAACATCCTTCAGCTGAACTGCGTGATTATGAGCCAAGAGAGATCTCTTAGAACTGTCTGAACTTCTGAATTTCAGACCTCTCTGAAATAATTTTAATGTGCTGACCCCTGGTCTCTGCACTGAAGATCTTGACAACAGTTTACCAAGCCTTTAGAGTGCTGTCTGATATACCCACAGGTAAAAAATGAAATAGAAAAAAAGGCAGTTGATGAGAACATTTGCTTTAAGTAACTTTGCAATGGTACCCATCAAAATAATCTCTATCCTTACCTATTTTTAAAGGATGAATATTTCTGTTATTTTCAGATAAGACTGACACATTGCCAGTTTCAAAAAGGTCTTTGTATTTTATCTGCAAGGTTAAAACATAAAGTAGTTCATGGAGTTATGAATCCATGGGCTTGCTTTTTAATTCCTGCTTGTTTTCTCAGAAACATGAATATCGTATATTTCTGATATATCAATTTCATATTCAGAAATTGAACAAATCATAAAATACTGTAAAAAGAAAAGAAGATCCATTACCAAGAACAGCACAATAGCCGCTATAAAGAGAGCTATCCATGCTTCATCTCTTAGCTATCCTTTTCCTTTTTATTTATTTATTTGCTGGGGCCAAGGTTTCTCTTGCTAGAAAAAGCAGCAGTGACTGGAGGCAATTCTGCTTAGTTATTCTTGTTCACGTAAAGCCATTTGAAGAAGTTCCATTCATAGTACCTAATTTCCAAGATCCTTGTATGAAACAGAAAGGCAAATTATCAATTTATTTGAAAAGCTATTTTCCCCCTAATATAGTACCCACATGTTCCAATTCTATTCAAAGTTTCTCTTCTCAATCTTTTCCGTACAGCTGTCAACTCCTTGACCTACTCAGGACTGGATTTCTGGCACCCTTTTACCCAAGACAGTTTTCACCTTTGTTACGAAACCAAACCTTTCTTTAGTACAAAAGGGCTATACTTAGTTAAGAAAACTGATACGTATTTCCTACCTGACTGTTTCAGGAAGAAATCTGTGGCTGTGCCAATGTTGTTCTCAAATAATTTCACCACTGACTGCAAAAAGCATTACTTGTAAGAGCACAAAGTTAATTTTAGCTTTCTTTATTGAATATATAACCCTCTTTGACAGAGTTTTTCAGTTTGTTAACAATTATAGAAATTGCTTCTGCTAGGCTTGTCTATTACATTATATATTACCAACTACAGCTTTGTATTTATCTTTTGTTTTCAGAATATAATTACAATCCTAGTCACCACAGAGCCTGGGAGTGTTTTTACAGACTGAGTTTATACCATCTGTAATATACAAAATATTAAATCAAACTGGTTTTACCTCTCTATAATGAAAAAGATAATTAATTTCAGTTTTTTGCATCTAGTAGTTGTTTTTTTGTTGCTTTAGTGTAAACTCTTACACATTCTAGCACCTTGTATTTTTTATTATCAAATTGATATTAATTTCATTTATGCCCATCTCATTTATACAGTGACTTAAAAATTCATGCAGAAAATGAAGAAACCTTCCCTCAAGGCTTCTTAGCTGGCACCCTGGGTGAAAGTCTCAGCATTATATATATCATGTTTATCAGAGACAAGAGTCTAGGGATATTGCTCAAAGCTGTAGCTCATGTCTTCTTCACTCATTTCCCTTACTATGCTATTTGTATCTCTGCCCTGCACTCCTACCCTTTACTTTTGGCAGTAGAATTTTCTTGTCTTTCCCACTCTAATTCCATTTTAATTCTCTGTATTATCTCTTTTAAATTTTCCCTGTGATTTTTTCCTCTCCTTATTATTTTCCAACCTCTTAACTCGTTAAAATCTTATGATTTTTCTTCCTAATCGTTTTTCCCTCATCATTTGAGCTCATCTCTCTTCCGGGCTTAATAACTTGCCATTTTATATTATGGCATTGTCTCCTACTGTGTGTATTCAAATTAAGATGCATCTGAAGATGAGACTGTTTTACACTAAATTCAGTTTTTCAAGGATTCTAACAGTTCTTCTTACAATGCATTTATCTTTTTCTACTCCTCCCAATAATTTTTAATTTTATTTTGCATTTCTATTCCTAATTGCTATTTTTAATCCATATTTGTGTCACTAGTCCTAATTCTAGTTTCTTGTTTACTAGTGTTATTCCTACTAAACCTCACCTCCACTGGGAATTTTAGTGAGTTGATTTCTGAGATTTGATTTCAAGGCATGATTTAGCAATACAGGCTGGTTTCTTCTTTTCTTCATGCTTTACTTCCTTATGGAGTGTCTATTGACTCTAGAGCCCTTGTGTGCTCTTCTGATTTATGACCTCATAGTAACTCTATCTGGGGACAAATACTTTTTAAGATGATGCCTTCAGGTAGGTATTAATTCCAAAACCAAGATAAATCATCTTAGGAATTGAAGGGCCCAGGAAGGGGTGAAGCGTACAGATGGTGCCGTATCACTTATGGAGCACTTTGACAATCTATTTTCTCCTGTGACCTTCAACAATCTCCAGCAGCAGTTGTTAAAAACAAAGAAATAAAATGAAATCCATTCACATATCAACTACCACTAATAAAAAAGCCCTCCGTCTTATTAAACAAAATTTTAAAATAGCATGCAGTCTCACCTGCTGTCCTGGCAAGAATTTTTCATGAATCAACATGACACGGAGAATATATTTATTCTTTTAAGCATAAATGTCAAAAGTATCTAAGCATATATTACTAACTTAGCATAAAATGTCTAAAACCAAAGAACATTAATTTTTATATAATCTGTCAATTAATTTAGATAACAATTTTTAACTCATTTTTTCTTTTCCAGAAACATGGCAGCAAATAGCTCACTCCTGTTAGAGAAAATAAAATCTACTATTATCCCAACAGTGAAAACGAGAAGAGGAAGAAATGTCACAGAGAAAATGTCCACATAAGAAAAATTAATAATTAAACAAAAGCTATTCCAAGCTTTAAGGGAAACTGGATTGCAAATGTAGGATTCAGCAAATTTCAATCCTAAATGCTATGCACATAAAAGATTTTCCCATCACAAAGTCTTGTACTTTACAATAGGAGTAAAAAGGAGGTCATCTTCCTCCTATTCTTTAGGAGGCTCATCTGTCTAACAAATATAACGTTGAACAAAGTCTGGTGTGTGTTTTTTTTCCAACAGTAAATACCAAACCTATTGACAACATTGCTCTGTTTTCCAAAAAGAGTACATCTGCAGACAGCAGAAATAAGTTGCCAAAACAGAGAAGACCCAAAGCTAAACTCAGTAGATTTGCCTACTACCACTGGAAATGGAATTGTTTCACAATTAATAAAATAACCAAACTAAGATAGCAAATTCTTACTCAGTTTTTACTGCATCTCCACTCACATAAACATTCCAATAAAGTAATTTTAAGTTAAACTTACTTTTAATAGGAGTCTAAGTAAAGACTGAAGAATCAGCTCAGAAAGCCCTAACTACAGAGAAAATCTGTTTTAGTAGAAAATATACTAAGCTTTGTACATATTAAGTTACTCGGAAAAATGCTGGATGTGGTGCTGCTTACACCAGCATAATTCAGAAAGAATTCAGCTGAAGTCAATGAAATTATTCCTATGAAAGATCAAAGTAAGATCATTAAGTAGCAAAATTGTGGAGATTATGGCAACATATCAATATTAATACTTATTGGCTTTATAATACATTGAACATTACTCAACTTTCAGTCCTTTAGATTTTAATTATGCACGTAGGATCTGGGATAAACACCTCCGAAATTCCTCCATTATCATCCGCTCAGCTAGACAGATAGAGTAACCTCTTTTTTCTGCCTCTTCAGCTTGCACTAGAAGACAAGCACATATTGCTTTCACTTCTTCCCAAGTTATACATATAGCTGGTTGCCTGACAGAGGAAAAGAAACTAGTATGAAATACCTCCATTTTAAATATACAACACAATTTAAAAGACAAACTGCAAAACTCAGTTAAGAGTTGGAAAGCAGAGAGCTGAATCAGAGTAGCTGCACTGTTACTGTAAGATACATTCTTGTAGGAATTTCACTGTTCTACACCGAATAGCTTCTGCTTCTAACAGATTGTTTTTGAGTTCTTCTAATTTATCACATGGGAGACTGTGTTCACACTACATAATTAATCTATGCAAATGCTGCCCAACAGGCACACACAGAGAAAGGTTATACAACAAGCCTCTTCCTCCATCTGCATGCAATAGTAAGATCCTGCCTCATGTACAAGGAAATGTGTTAAAAATGCTTAGTCAGGGTCTAGGAGGTACTAAATGTAAATTCAGCCTACTATGTTAAAAGAAACAGCACCAAGCGCCTCAAGGATTCCCTGAATGGCACCTTAGCAGCCTTGCTTTGAATAAACTCTTGACATTCTACTATATTAATAACGTAACTCATCCTACTGTGACATTCAAGCAAAGGCACAACTTGGCACCATCTACCCCATCAATACACTACCAACAGCAGAAATTATTAAAATATTTTAAAAATAAATCATCAGAAAGTGTTTTTAAAATGGAGTTAAGAATTTCAAGGTAATGGTTGATGCAAAATAGCAAAGAAAATGATGTATGCAAACTGAAAATTTTAGAGCCTGGAGTAAAGCTCCCTAAAATCAATTAAGAGGTGGTTTAATTAATTTTAATTGTTATTAACAGGTGTTTCTATTTATTAGGCAAATTACTGTAAAGCAACCAAAAATAGAGATTAGGCTACAACTATGTTAGAAAGCATAACAACTTCAGGACAGTATGGCCTTCTTAGAATATTTTACCATCCAAATTGCCAACACAAATAAAATTGACAGGAGGTGGACCAAAGGAAGAAGAGATGGGAAAGAAGCAGTAATATAAACATGCTTATTAATTGAACATCACAAACATATTAATAACATAATTTTCTTAGTACTTCTTTGGTCAAGGTTTTGTTATAAATGAATGCTTGAACATAGAAAAATTTAAGAACAGAGAAACTGAAGGAAAAACATAAAGTAGCTAAGGGGGGGGAAAGTTGAGAGAATGAAATATGTGATCGATACATAAATAACTGCTGTTTTGTAAGCAGAAATAACACATATATCCCTGAACTCTGTATACTATATTAAAGGATAGTTATAGCCTCTCCTTTAGATATTTTTTTATTTATAGAAACAAGATGGCAAATGCTATGTGAAGTGATTCCTTGTATATAAGCCATCTGTCATTTTAGTCACTATTTCTTAGATAATTATGATAATGGTTACACAAAAAATTAATGAAGTCAGACCAATGGATTATGCATTGCTATTTCCAAATATTCACCTGTCCTTCTTCAATTTTGGTAACATTTTGAATGTTGATGTTAAAACTGGGCTATTTCCTTCATTATTTCCAATGTCCACGTAGTTTAGCACATTCAACTGTTTTTTTTCATCTGGACTTTCTTCATAATTTTTGCAACCAATGCATTTGCAAATAGAGGAACACATAATTTTAGCCTGGCAAATACAGAATACTTAGAATAAAAATTGTTGTCATGGTTTAACCCCAGCTGGCAACTAAGCCCCACACAGCCGCTCCCCTCCCTCCCTCTCAATGAGATGGGGGAGAGAATCAAAAGAATAAAAGTGAGAAAACTCATGGGTTGAGATAAAGACAGTTTAATATGTAAACCAAAAGTCGTGCATGCAAGCAAAGCAAAACAAGGAATTAACTCACTACTTCCCATTGGCAGGCAGGTGGCCATCTATCTCCAGGAAAGCAGGGCTCTATCATACCTAACAGTTACTTGGGAAGACAAACGCCATAACCCTGAACATCCCCCCCTTCCTCCTTCTTCCCCCAGCTTTATACACTGAGCATGACATCATATGGTATGGGATATCCCTTTGGCCAGTTGGGGTTAGTTGTCCTGGCTGTATCTCCTCCCAACTTCTTGTGTACGCACAGCCTACTCGCTAGTGGGGTGGTGTGAGAAGCAGAAAAGGCCTTGACTCTGTGTAAGCACTGCTCAGCAATAATGAAAACATCCCTGTATTATCAACAGGTTTTTTAGCACAGATCCAAAACATAGCCCTATACTAGCTACTATGAAGAAAATTAACTCTATCCCAGCCAAAACCAGCACAATTGTATAAATCTTAAATTAAACATGTATTTGAGCAACCATTGGAGCTATACCACCAGGGACTTATTCTAGATGTGCCGATCTTGGACACTCCCAGAGCAAGACCATCAGTATCAGTACAGTAAGGAAGCAAGATAGTTTTTTTCCCATGGATTCTCTGTGGAGATTGATATTCTGTACATGGACAAATCACTCCTCCCCTCAATTTGTGGATAACTTTGCAAGATAACAAAATACCACAGATGCAAAGAAACTACCAGGATTAGCAGAAAACCATTCCTCATTTCTTCTGGAGCAAGGCATTGGCTGAGAGCTCTTGATACCAAAAATTTTAGCTGATCAACTTCAGCCAGTTCTTTAAAGACATGACAAGAAAGAGACTGTGCCTCCAATGTTGAAAAAGTTTTATGATGAAAAATGCGAAGAAAGAAGAGAACTGATTACTTTTAGCAACTACTAGTTACAGAATATAGTCAATGTTAAGGTAGTAACCGATGAAAGTTCACCTGACTCACCTCAAAGCACTCACAATAATTCTTGAGGCATCCTGAGCGCTTGCAATTACATCCTTTGTTATGGTGGGGTTTAATTTCTCCTAGTTTCCTTTTCCCAATTTTTGGTAAGAAAGCTTCTGGGTTCCTATCAAGACAGGCCTAAAACAAAAATTGCTAGATTATGAGAAATTCAAAGAAATGTTTTTAAACACCTGAATGACTGTGATCCAATGTTTAACAAAGAAGTTCGTACTTTCCGGTCTCATTATTGGTGGTATGAAGCCCATGGATAAAGGAGTCTTCCATGGCATGTGAGAGCAGGAATTCAAAGATTCTAGAACACTAAACTGACTTGGCTTTACCACGGGAAGCAACTTACATTGTTTTTATAGAATAACCTAAATGATCCATCTACTATTCTCTTGGGGCTGGTTTTCTTTCACTGCTGACGCTACTTTCACCAGAACTAAAAAGTTCTCAGTGAAGAAAGAACCCTTGCATGCATAGTAACGTACATCTCAGAAGTTTTAAACATCTTGTTTTATTAATGGCCCAGTACAAAGACCATCCACTGAAATCAGCATTGGATTGAAACAGCAGGTTTTAATTAGGTCCCAAGACCTCAAAATGCCATGGACTACTAAAAGGCAGGTTAAAGACATTATATGCCCTTTATGTATAGATGTAGACACCATCTACAGTAGTGAAAGGAGTGCTTAGACACCAACAACCCCAACAACCGAACTAGAGACGAGCATCTAATTTAACAACCAGTTCTTGCATATTGACAGCAAAAACTGCTATGGCTTTGACTGGTTGTGGCAAAGCTCTAACTCTAATTAGATCAACATATTGTACAATCCCAAAATGATGTGAATGACACAAAAAAGTTCTGGAGAGTTGCATACAAGAAGCACAAAGCCATTAATATAACCTTAAAGCATCAGCAATAGAATAAGACTTTTCATTATCACTTTAAAACTTACAAACATAACACACAGATTAAATTATTGCCCAGTTTGTGCAGTTTGATATACACACAAAAATTAGCCCACATATTATTCTTTATTCCACTAATAAAATCAGTCTCCAAATGTAGAAGCAACCTGCTTCTCACTAGTGCTGGGTTCAGTGTCGCTGCCAGGAGAGCCAACTTTGCATTGCTGCATGGGTCAACCAGAAAGACTAATACAGACAACTGCAGAAGACCTGTCAATGAGAATAATAATTTGGATAGTAATAATTTGTTTTCCTTTAACTACTCTGTGACTTTGGGATACAATAAATTTTCCTTGAAGTGAAAAAATTTTCTGAAATTAAATTTGGGTTTGAATACTTCCTTCCAAGAATAAATATCATCATTCAGTTAACACATCACTAGTTTTAATCCAAAGTATCAGAAGTTCTATAAAAGGAAGGAAAGAAATCCCTAAATTTCTTTATGTAAGAATAATACAGAGGCAGCACTTAGCTTTATTTAGGTTAAACATAACATATTTCAAATACTGTAACTAGTGGAAAAAACAATAGTGCTATATTTTTCATACATGAAGGTGATACCAATGTGTATTGTACTTTTTAAAATTTTTTTTACCTTAATGGCTTTGAATCGTTCAGTTTCATGAAATTGATTGTTGTAACAATTATTGCAGTTGCAGTTGTTGCAAAAATCACCATTGGCAAAGCAATCACAATATCTATGATTAACATGTAAAATAACATAAGAAATGAAAACATTAACTGGTTTAAGTGTAAATTTTTAAGTTTAAGTTCTACTTCTAGGCAGAATGTTCAGTTTCTACTCATGAAAAATGTTCCTTCCTCTGTAATTTAATCACATCCAAACCTATCAAAGAGCTTCTCTCTCTCTTTCAATTTTACATTTTGTAAAATACACCCAGTCCATCAATGAATCAAACTTTAGTTATTGTGTATACATCTCTGTGCATATTATTTATGTATGAGAGCATCAGCAAGACAGATAAATTATATTTTACATGCTGTAATGTATACAGCATTTACATTCTACGTAGGGTTTTCCAGATATGCTCTGAACAATCCTTCTAGCTTTTCTTTTTATTTTTCATACTTTGGATTATATGCAGTCATCTACACCTCTGCACCAAATTCTGAGCTTGTGTGACACTAGTTTACATCAACTGTGGATCTTTCTAACTCAGTATCAGATGAGTAATTTTTGACATGTATGTACTGTTCATTTTAAAGCACACATTTCTTGTATGTTTGTCCTTTCATCTATACACTGTTATTAGCACTTATTAAATGTCGATAAACTATTACTTACAATTTAAGACACTGAGATTTTGTGCAGTTACATGGTTTCATAGACTTTGTAATCCCTGAACCAAAACGTAAGCTACATAGGTTGAAAAAGGAAAAAAAAATTAGAAAAAAGTGTACAAATACAACTACAATGAAAACTAATTATTCTATAGCTTTGAAACAATAAATACTGGTTTTATGTTTTTACACCAATATTGGTGCTAGTTAACAGGTGTGGCCTCACAGAGTACGTGAGAAAAAGAGAATAAGCAACCTGTAATCTCCCTCTATCCACCAGCTGTCACTACTTGGGGCAGGTCTGCCTTTAGTCATACAACTTGGTAATGGTTGTGCAACTGCAAAGCTCTCTCACCTTTCACACTGGGGTTGCATCTGCCTCTTATTTAAAAATGATCTGCAATTAAATATTATTAAAATAATTCCATTAGTGTTAGAAATGCAGGCTAAACACATGCTAATTAGATTTGGAAGCACATCAATTAACTTAGAAAATTAAATGTTTTTCAAGCAAATGGACAGCACAATTGCACTGATCCTAAGAAAACCTGAAACCATGCTACATAGTCTTGACCACCAGCAACTGGCATCATGACTGCCAAGATATATACACAAAGCATTCTTACAGAACTGCATGTATGTTACAAGAGAAGCAGCTATGCAACATGAAAATGTCTAGGAGTCATTGCCAATTTAAATTTCAAAAGTCATCATGGATGTAAGATGTTTCACGCATCTTACCCCTCTGAGGTCATTTTCACTGGCCCATGCAGATTTGATTCTAGATGGAACGTGGCAGTGTTAGCTACTGGTTGTAAGGGTCCATTTTCAAACTGTTCAAGATAAAATGCATATATCCTGTTTATGTTAACTTTTAAAAAAATAGTTTTGTAAGTTAAAAGAGAAAAAGTAACACAAAGAAAATGCTTCAGGGATAATTTGATTGCCAAGGTTACTGATAAAAACTCATGGAAGTAAAGAGTTATGAAAACGGTGTGCACCTCCTCTTAGAAACCATTCAGTATATCAGGAATCTCGTTTCTCCCAGTGCAAAGAACCAAAAACAGCTTTCAGTGCTGCAGTGTTGGGCACTATTTTCAATTTACTGATAATTCTAGGTTCAGTTGCTTTTAATTCCAGTAGTCAATTGAAACTGGTTAGTGACTTGTTGATTTACATTATGTTCAGCTGCAATATGACATCTAATTGGTTGAAGACTAAGCAAAATTTAAAAAAAGAATCAGCTCACAGGCCAAGAAAACACACTGCAGATCTGTTGTCTCTTCAGACATATGACTAATAAGGGCCTGGTTATGGAGAAAGACAAAGGAAGAACAATTAGGACTATGCTGATATTACCAGTAATAGAGGGACAGTGAATAATTGTAAATCACTGTTATTTTAATAGGTGATTAATCTGTCTGACCATAAAGAAAAGGAAAATTAATATATTTAAAGCAAGATAAAAAATCTAGGAAACAACTAATTTGGTATAGTTAGAGAAGAATTACAAGACTGTCTACATCACTGCCCCAGAATGTTTAGGCACCAATTTGCAGATATACTGCAAATGGTATAGAGATGAAAGACTCCCTAGGTCATTGTTCGATCTGACCCTTAGGTTTTGTCTCCCCTCTTTTATGATAAGTGGCTGCTATCCACAAACCTTTTGCTGTGTTTGTGCTGTCATCACATATTCACTCCACACAAATCAAAAGTTAACAATTAAAAATTTGCAGTGATTTTTGCTACCGGCTCTGCTGGAAGTAACACATGAGAAACCAAACATCTGCAAAGATTTTTAGTCTTCTGTTCAGTTTTCATCAATTAAAAAAATAATCGACAAAAATTATAAAGACTTGATGACTGTTAAGTCCTAATCAAGAGAAAAGAGTGTAAAAAATCCTACTGGAAGAAAATATTCCCCTTCTTCTAATAAAAGTCAAAAGAGTCTTAAAATGGTCAAAACCCCAGAATAGTCTTAAAATGGTTCTCAGAAATAACATAATCTATATAATACCAAATTCAAGGTTTCAAAATTGGAATAAATTTATTTCTCTTATGGAAAACTGTATTTTTAATTCTGGTTTTACTTCTAGAAAATGTTGAAATTGGAAACCTTTATATGCAGAAAGTATACTGAGTGCAGAACTAATCTGTCCAAACTAGATAAACTGTCTTTAGAAAATGCATACAATTGTTACTTCCCAACATAGACTTAACAACCCATTTTAAGAAAAGGAAAAAGAGTATATATTGTACTTAACAAGTTTAAAGGATAAAGCTTCTTTACCTCTTGTTCATTCAGAACCAGTTCACCTGGAACAGGCAAAAACTGCCCCAGTACAGCTGTTACAGGGTTGTCCACATCTGAAAAGAAGACATTTACCTGAAGACAGCAGAATTACTCATAGTGTATGAAGTTTCATTTATGCATAAATAGTTTTTGAGTTAAGCATACAGGCAAATTGGTATCTTCAACGTCTTTTGTTAATTAAAAAAATCACCTGAGGCTGTCTGTCCTCTGTTAGCACTTTCTCCTACAATTTAGTTTTGAATCCAAACTTACTCTACAATAAATGGTGCCAATGAAGTTTTCTCTCCAGAAATGTTTTTCTCATTGCAAAAAACAAGAGTAGAAAGCTGACCACACAAAAATACCCCTGGCAGAAGAACCCACCACCAATTTGTCAGCTAGGAATTTGAGCATAGGATGTTTTGATGACATCAAGTACATTTAAATTCATATGCCATAGACTTAAAATATTTTGATAAGAAAAATGACAGAAACAATTAAATATATTTATCCTGAGTTCTTATTTTACAGATTTTCAGAGTTCTGAGAGAACATCTGGAACAGAGGTCTTTAGCTTATGAAAAAAATTACTAGAAACCCACAGAGAGAACCATAGCTGTTAAGAGTAAGTCTTTGCATAAGTCCTAGTGAAGAACTGCATGTAAGTACATGAGCATCCTAGCCTATGCAGAAAAAAGCAAACATGAGTTGTAGTAAGATTACAAGATGAATCTTATATATCTACTTACTTCCTTCCCATCTAAAGAAAGAAAAAAAAATAGAAGCCAAAGGACAGCTTAATTCAAAAGTTGAAGAGATTAGTCCCTAGAAACTTTTAGATATAATTTCTGGACCTAATTATTTTACTTGCTGTTAAGATGAGTAAAACTGAAGAAAGCTCAAACAAATACATCTAAAAAACATATGCCAGTGCACTCCTCCCCAGCTTTTTCTTCCCTAACATCACAGCAAATGAATGAGAGTTTGAATTTTATAAAGGAACATGACCTTTAAGTTGAATGTGCCTGGTTTACTATTCTGGTGGCTTCTGACAAATATAAGTAAACAGGATCCATACCTGGAGCATCTGCTGAGAGATGCTCACACTCAGCACCTATTGATATTGAGAGCAGTATCTGTGCTTGTCTGGTCCCTAATACTAAAAGGCTTTGTTTTCGCATTGCCATCAAAATGCACCACTGTAATAAAATTATAGTAATAAATAATGAAATAAACCATGTTAATAATGTTTTTGAGGAAGCTATATTTAGGTAAAGAAATTTTTATTTAAACTAAACTACACTCAAATACTTTGTTGCTGCTCAGATGAAAATGTGTTACTCCATCTAAAGAGCATTAACTTTAGGACCTCAGAAACCACTTTCTTTAAAAACTGATGGCATTTCAAGTTCACATAATTATGCAAATATTAGTGAGACATTCTGAATCCCAAGGCTAAAGTGTACCCATAGCCCGCAACGCTGCTCTTCGTTTATAGAGAAACAGTGACACTTGGTGGCAAACTAGGGTAAATGCAAATATATGAAGGTGCTTATGCTAAATGTGCTTTATATGGAAAGTAATCTTATAGTATTTTATCTTAAAGTATATGTAGTATATAAATACATATACACACACACTATATAATATAAAGTATATTATATTATTAATATATATATTATATATTAAAAACTTTCAATAAATTCAACATATCCTTTACATCATTCTTATTACACTGAAGCACCTAGAAGTTTTTCAGTTATAAAATAAAGTAAAATAACAACTGGTGACAGCTACATTAGCTTTGGCTCATCTCCCACTGTTGCTGCTTAAGAACATAAACACATGCAGTTGCACGTTAACAATCTATCATATACTATCTGACAGGCTAGAGATAATTTTCATTTTTATTATACCTGATTGAAGATAATGATGTTGGTCGTGATACTCAGGAATTAGATGAACTGGGTTTAGTTCTTGTGTACCACAATTGTTTATACAGAGTATTTGAGTACCTCCTTCCAACTGGCAGATAACCTGGAAAGGATAATTAATGATTAGCTTTCATCTAAGAAACTGTAATTGTAAGCATATAGATATAAAGGTTTTCATAAGAGTACCACCTGTCTTATAAAGCTTCATAATCACAGACTGGAATCTCTCAAACAAATGGATCATTATGCATTAAGATGTTTGCTTTTTGACCCTTAATTTTAATTTATTTTTGGAAGCAGCTATTGAGATCTAACACTGTAGCTCCTCAACCTAGGTGATATGGATTCCTGGTTCTCTAAATTGCTCCACGGGGCTTTGTAGAGCATATTCTAGCTATTCTATATAGCTAGATATAGACAGACACATATTCTAGTGTCCTGGCTTCAGATTCAGTTCCCTAACCAGAACATGCTGTTGTAATTGTTCCTGTTTCGTTTCATTTCATTTGTTTAGCTGTGATTTTAAATCAAGACTTTTCCTTCAGATGAAGTAATCTTCACATTGGGGTTTTTTTTGTTTGTTTGTTTCCAGCTGTTAAATAGAAAATAATATGGTTTTTATATATATATATAAAGTAGCACTATAGCTAGATAAAATTTAGACTGTGAGTCCAAGGAAGGGACTGCCTTATTATTCTTAACACAGCACTTACTAAGTGGGTCTTCTTGATGCTAGCGTGGTCTTCACATTGGGGTTTTTTTTGTTTGTTTGTTTCCAGCTGTTAAATAGAAAATAATATGGTTTTTATATATATATATAAAGTAGCACTATAGCTAGATAAAATTTAGACTGTGAGTCCAAGGAAGGGACTGCCTTATTATTCTTAACACAGCACTTACTAAGTGGGTCTTCTTGATGCTAGCGTGGTACAAATAAGTTAATTTGCTGTAGCATATAATTTTGCTATCAATTACAGGATATAATTACCACAGGGTTGGAGTCATTTCTCTGTGAACATCTGGATTCCTCCGCTACACTGTGCAATGCTAATAACTTGCAGCCAGACTCGTCAACATTTGAACTCTGAAAAATTGCTCTGTCTTGGTGATTCTCGATAACATTACTAACTGTCTCTCTTACCTCAGCCTGAAATATAAAGTTTTAAACCTTAACAGGCATGCTTTAAAATCTACTTTAAATTCCAAGCAAATACAATAAATTTAAAAATTTATCTGCATAAATCATATATTTTAAAGCAAGGATTGTATTCAAATGTAATACTGAGAATAGTTAATTTGTCAATGGCAGAATGATTTTTGCTTATATTTCAAGTAAAAATATTCCTGAAAAAAAACAATGAACAGTAACATATTTCACAGTAACAATGGTGTTCAGTGTCTCCAACATCATGAAGCATCAACTGATTTCTAAACTGCCTTGGAGAAGTTAGGCAATAGTCACAGCAAATTATGCAAAACAAGAATTAATCTTGAATTATATAACTTGACTGGGGATCACTGGGATTTAGTCTAAGTAAGACGCAGTCATCTGAGACTGGACTGCTAATTCAGTTATACCTATAAATCAGATTGTTCCAAAATGAACTTTTATTACGGTGATCACTACTGTGTGTCATGGCATTCCATCATAGATGTGGTGCCACTTGCATTTGTTGAAAACCAATTTATCACCTATCTTGCCGATCCATTATTACAGTGTCATCTTCACAAAAGTCACACTTCCAGATGAAACCTTGCCCCTCTCAGTACACACTTTAAAACACTGAATGGACAATCTTGAAAAACCTGGCTACAACATTCCAGTACTGTTCAGAAACCTCCCTTTCATTAAATACCTGACTTTCTATAGTTTGTCTTGTACATATCTAGGAATTTATATTTGAAAAATTCAAGCATTTTCAGAGAATAATGAAGTTGCAAAGAACATCTCTCCATAGGCAGGGAATGCAAATGTTAAAGCCAGATTTTCACCCTCAGCTCTGTTCCTTTATATACACTGCACATGTGATAAAGGCTCAAATCCTAATCAGCTGCCCAAGGGTATTTGGCAGCACTTTGTGTTCAGGTGGCCTTAAGAGAAGCCCCCTCCTCCCTAACTGGCCTGAACTGGGACCAGAATGTGCAAGTGGCAGACAGGAGCCAACTAGACTTGAGCCAATAGGAACAGAAACAGGTGAAAAATCCAGATGCTATTCTTCCTTCCTCCACAATGTAGCAGTGTAGGAAATCTAGGGAGCAACATTTTTCTTTCCCTCTCTTTTGTGAACAGATCAGACAGGACAGTGTTTGAAAAAACCTTTTACTGTCTGGCACTTAGAATAAATCCCATTTTAGACATTCAACACTTGGACAGATTCTTCCAATAATAATGAAATCTTGCATGCATACTTACTATTTCATCATAGACAGAAGCACTATTCTGAGGTAAGCCACAGATATCACTGGAAGATTCTAGTACATAAAATAAAGCATGGTTTGTTTACAAAAAGATCAGTGTTTTACACCTTTACAGCATCAATAAAAGAGATTTTGATGTCAGTACAGCATTACATTCTTGTGAAAGAAATATTTAATATTCTTTTGTAACAGACTTGCTGGGAAAAACAGACTTCAGTTTGGGTCTTTTTGATATCTTTAAAAGGTTTATTGAGCCCATTTGGTAAAATTCATTTAGCTTCAGGATAAACTACCTTGTAAGATCAAATCTAGCAGTCACTTCAAGCCTGAGCAGGATTGTGAACAGGTTATGGGCAGAACACATAAGCAACTGCTTATGAGTTACTGTCATCAGCAGCATCAGTGCAAACCACCTAACTTCCATAACTGGTGGTCAAACTTCAAAGTGAAATAAGAACATTGTTCAACTCAATTTAAAAAAAAATTGTGCTACAAGAAGGAATATCTTCTTCACAGTCCCCTGAAGGAATGGAGAGGTGGTATGAGAGGAAGAAAAATCAAAAGACTGAACTACGTGGTTGAAGCAACATGAACATACATGAACAAAAAGTGGTCCATTCTCCTTTCAAACATTCTTAGTTATATTAACATTATCAGAAAAGGCTCATACTGCAATTTGCCAAATCCAGAAATGAATTTAGCTATTTAAATCCTTCCCTAAGCTTATGAGAGGAAAATGGTATGAGAGGAAGAAAAATCAAAAGACTGAACTACGTGGTTGAAGCAACATGAACATACATGAACAAAAAGTGGTCCATTCTCCTTTCAAACATTCTTAGTTATATTAACATTATCAGAAAAGGCTCATACTGCAATTTGCCAAATCCAGAAATGAATTTAGCTATTTAAATCCTTCCCTAAGCTTATGAGAGGAAAAAATAAAATCCCCCTCAATCACTTGGGGCACTTACCATTAGCAATTGGTGTCAAGTTTTGTAACTGCATAGTAAAAAAAATAAAATCCCCCTAAATCACTTGGGGCACTTACCATTTAAGCAATTGGTCAAGTTTTGTAACTGCATAGTACTGTTTTGGATTCCTTTAAACTGATCATAATAAATAGACTTATTCTCAACTGCAATTGGAGGTATGAATGATCTGAACACCTGAAGAAAAGAATGTTTTATTTATAACTATTTTATGCATTAAATGATTCATTTTTGAAAAGCCAAATGAAAAAACAAAAAACTGACTTAAAGTGACCTTGAAAATTGGAAGTTATTTACATTTTCATGACATATTTAAGCACATAAATGCTGCGGCCTATTCCGCATTACCAAATACCGTTATATACCTTGAATATTATTTCTTTTTTTTCTGCTCAACATATAGTTATGGTTCAGATCTAATGCATTTACAACTATAATAGCATCATACTTAATACCTACATTTGTATTTTCAAAAACAAACCAAATGAATAGAAATGGAACAAAGACAGAAACCAACTATTTTCTAGTTTCAGATTAGAATTGAGGTTGTTTGAACTAGACAATTTGGTCTCTATCTGTGTGTGCTGTGCTTCCTCTTAATATAGACAGCAGTTTAGGAGGGTAAGCAAGCAGTGTAGAAACAATCAATCAGCTTGCTTTATTTCAATAATATTATTTATAATCCGATTAGAATTTTGTTCTAATACCTTCAAGAAACAGGGCAGGTTAAGGAAACATGCAGATTTAGTGTGATAAACTGTAAGGATACTAGGAAGAGGGCTGGTCAGAAAGATTTTTTCTAAATGTCCTTTTTAGCTCCTTGTACAGAGACTAACAAATTTTCATTATCTTTAACCTGACTTTGAAGAAAGCAACTGTTATGCCTTAATCACATCTTTATTTTCTAGAGGCTTCCACAAGTCTTTTGAATCTTCTTAACTGTTCAAAAGATTGAAGGTCTTGCTTATTAAAGAACTACTCATAATATTGAGCATGTGTATAAACAACCTTCCAAGCCAGAGATACTTTTAAACTATAACCGTAACCTGAAATCAGAAAGAAAACCAAAACACATAAGGTAACTGTCACGGTAGACCTCAAGCATGTCAGGATGAAATGTCTCTGGGAAACACACTGGGCTGGGTAGTGTCAGAATGATTTCTGTGATAGGAGGTTTCCTGCACAGACAGCCCCGTAGGTACCACCTGGCTTCAGCCTGGCACCTCGGTGGGAGGTGCAAGGGAAAATCAGACCTCGTTTTCAACCACATGATTTTTGTGTGTTTTGGGGGGTTTTTTAATGCTTTTGATTTTTGAATCTGAGAACAGCACTGTTTGTCAAAATATTTGCATGGAAAAAAATGTCAACTGGTATGGTTAATTATTTCAAGATAGCTTCTCAGAGGAAACCTCAATGCCCTCTAGAAGCAGCCACAGTGCAAACTTAAAATTTGGAGATCTCTTCAGATGATACTCTACAGCCATAAACAAAGATGCAAGGACACATAAGTATTCTACATATGAATAGCCTGCATTAAGCAGATGGATTTGGTCCTGTGAGCATCACAAGAAGTTTTATGCTGCGTACCTTTCTACATAGTAATTGATCCAACATAGAAAATGTAACTTCAAACTATACAGAAAAACTGCCAAATGTGGTAAGCAATGGGAAACCCCTCTCTCTTACAAAACTACTTTCCCCATGGAGATTTAACAATGGAGGCTACAGTTTACTGCTGCAAATAAATTACTTTTTAACTCATTTGGACTATAAATTTTAAGATGACAAGTGTGTCACCTTGGAACTGAAGAACAAAAGTTAATATCCTATTTGTACTTTGTACAATTTGTACAACTAATAGTTGCTAATACAGAAGGTAATATAGAAAACCAAAGTGGGTATATTTGTGACATGGTAATATTTTTTTAATGAGCAAAATAACTACCCAGCCATTTAAAAATATGGCTCCTAACATGGAGAAAAAAGAACACCAGTCAGAACCATATGTTAACACTGCATACTATTTCTGGCAATATAAAAAAGATTTTTTTTCTGTATTTACTACTAAGTTTGTTCTAGTATAAAATTTATGACATAACTTTAAGCATTATGTGGATCCTATATAAGTTTTAATGTGGCAATTCCCCACATTTAAGTCACAAATAAGCATTAATACATAAAAATTCCTATTTCACTTAATCTTACTGGTATCATTCTGACATTTTGATTGACTGTTCCTTCTGGAGAGAAAATGCTTGTAGTTGGAACACTGCAATTTTTATGCTGTATTGCTACAGAAGAAAGAAAGTGGACACCATTTGAAGGCAGATAAGGTGAATGTATATGTTCAGCTTCTTCTGGAAGATTTAATTCCTTGTATTTTTCAAGATCTTCATCATCACAGCTGTTGTTTCCATGTGGATGTACTTCAACTTTTACTATTGTATTTTGATTTTCAATGGTAAGTGGATACTTGAAGTGATCTAACAAAGTCTCTCCCACATTTACAGTGCATAAATTATTGTCTTGACTAGATAGCAATCCTTCTTCAATGGGATTATTAATTACTGCAGTTTCCAGATTAAAGTTTTCAGAACTAACAGGACTATTTTGACTAAATATTTCAGTTACAAGTCCACTGTCTATTACTGATCTTATATCAAGCAATATCTGATTCTCCATACTCATGGATAGACTGTCAACTGGTTCATATTTATTTTTTTCGTTGAAGATAATTGAATTTTCTATTTCAGCATTCTTCTGAATAGTTTTTCTATCTAGAAGTGAATGAAATAGTCTTAACCAAACAACACGTACATATAATACTGAAGATAAACCCAATTAACATGTAACTGTGAAACTTAAAAACATAACGCTGGAAGAGGTTGTTGGGGTTCTGGATCCAGCTTTCAGAAAATACAGGCCACCATGCCAACACAAACAAGCTGCTTTTACCATAAGAACACATTCTTTGTAACTTTTAAATGTATTAACAGCATTCAGACTTAAATCAGAATTTTGCTACTTGGCTTTAGTAGTTTAAAAAAATCAATCAAATTTGACATAGTACACTTAGACAGCAATAATTACACTATTTTAAGTTTGTGTCAGTAAGTAGCACATTAAGACTAAACCTTATCTGTACTCTCCATGTCACTATTGCCAGTTACAGACAATGCAAACCAAAGCACCTCTACCCAGAGTATCACAAGGCCACCATTAAAAAGGCATAGGCCAAGATCCACCTGCACTGTCATCACCACTATTTCTGGATTTAGACTAAGGCAATATGGGGAGGGTCAGGCTACCTGTGTCCCCCTGACTGGACTGGGATATAGCAGCTCTCTGAAGGCTCAAGTCTCTTGGACCTATATGCATCAACCACTACCAGCTCCAAGACATCCGTGGGGCGGGGCAGGAGAACTGCCCAGAAGCTCCGGCTGCCTTCCCCCCTCACCCCACATCACCACGCTGGTTTCCAGGGCAGAAGGGAAAGGGACAGGCCCCACCTCCACCCCGGGCCCTCAGCAGCGTGCATGTCTCTGCCCCTTCCCCCAGGCAATTCACCTTCCCCCATCTCCGGCCCCCGCCCTTCAGGGAGGGGGGAGACGACCGCGCGCCAGACCGTTAAGGGAGGTTGGGCATGCGCCAGAGCGCCGCTTCCAGCCTGCCCCGTCCCGTCCCCCCAGCCCGCCAGCGCGGAAGTGTCTCGCACTCCGCACGGGCGGCAGCGGGCGCACACACGGCCTGAGAATTAGGTTGGGTGTTTGGGGGGATTTTTGGTTTGGTTTGCATTTAAAGTATAATTTCCCTTGGAAATTATCTTGCACTAGAAGGAGTCAAAGATTAACCGGGACCCTGGTACTACGAGATTATTTGTTATAATCCATGTAGAAGAGTGCTACTCAGCACTGGTAAGATGACACCTAGAGTATTGTGTCCAGTTCTGGGCTCCCCCAGTACAAGAGAGACATGGACATACTGGTGAGGGTTCAACAAAGTGCCATGAAGATGATTAAGGGACTGGAGCATCTTTCCTATGAGGAAAGGCTGAGAGAGCTGGGACTGTTTAGCCTGGAGATATAAAGTGGAAGGGAGGGTGCAAGGAAGATGGAGCCAGGATCTTTTCCGTGCTGTACAGTAACAGGACAAGAGGCAATGGGTACAAACTGAAACACAGGAGTTTCCCACCAAACATCAGGAAACACCTTTTCACTGTGTGGGTTACCAAGCACTGGCACATGTTGCCCAGGGAGGTTGTGGAGTCTCCATCCTTGAGGATACTCAAAAAGCCATCTGGACATGGTCCTGGGCAACCATCTGGTTGGACCAGATGACCTCCAGAGGAGTCCCTTCCAACCTCAACCATTCTGTGATTCTGTGAAATAGCTGGATTCCAGCTTCTGCTCTTGGAGCCCTTTCTACAACTCACTACGTAAATCTTTGAATTGTCACCCCGGTGCCATAAAGATTTCGGAGTTTAGAAAACACTCCAAACCTACCAGGCCGCTACCTATGTCCATTTAAGATAAAAGATGGTTTCCTTGAAAGCAGAAATTTTATATATTAATGTCTTCATTTTTAGGAAGTTTTGTGTGTGAAAAAAACACAGCAACTAAAAACACCTAAAACAATTTCAAGTTACCTTTCATCCATAAGATGCCATACAATTAATCCAAGAAGAAACTGGAATCAATTTTTCCTTATGCTTTTGGTTACAAACTTCCACCCAGCCAGCCACAGGTTAGCAGCCATGAAAGTTAGGGAAAAAGAGAACAAAACAAAACAAAGAAACCCCACGCTTCCTCCTCTCCTCTCAAGAGTTTCATCTAATAGCTAAATTTTTTATTCTAGTACTTTCCAATAGGAGTTCATTAATCAGCCAGAGCTGATTAATCCCATGCATCATGTACAACTACAGCAACATTTTCTGAGTATAAGATGCATCTTATACTCACCACCCTTAAAAACAGGCAAAGGGAAGGGGGAAAAAAACAAACAAACAAAAAAATCACTATTTTCTGTGCCTGGAAAGTTTCCATGCAGCATTTCTGTTCAGATTGAACATATCAATCTACAACTTCAGTATCCAGCTTTGGTGGGAGATATTTGAAATACAACCAGGGACTAACAGTATCTAAGAGATGAAGTGTGCAATTGAAATCACTGTGTTCTTTCATGTAGCAAAGGCTGCAACATCCAGAAAAGCAGCAAGCTAAATGATTGTGAAAATGGTCTATCACACAAAACTATTTGGTGGGTTCTGTGTGGGTTTTTTTCTTGTTGTTGTTTTGTGGCATTTTTTTTTTTATTAAACAGCAATTGAAAAAACAGCACGTAAACCTTCAAAGGGTAAAAAAAATCCTCTTCAACTGTCTCAAAGTAGTCCCCAGTTTTAATGCAATTTCAAAAGAGTTTTCAGGTACTGGGAATCTTCAGATAAAGCAAATAACATTTTAACAATGTTAACTTTCTGTGCCTGAACCAGTTCTCCACTGCCTTACCATTCATATTCTATAGATTATTCACTGTAAAGATGAAACCAGTGCTATCCACTAGCTTGCAGACAGACTGTTTCACAGAAACATTCCAGAAGTTATTTGGATCTCATGAAAAAAAAGCTCATCTAAAATAAGACCTATGTTTTTTATTTGTTCTACTGAACCTGAAAAAGAAAAATTGTTCATTAACACATTCCCTAGCATGACATGTATAGCATTATTACTTGTATATAATATAGCATATTACATGTATAATTACTATTACACATTAACTAGCATGACATGTATAAATCACTGCTAAAATAAACTGAATGGTCTGCTACTACCATTCCTAACCGGATTTAATAGCAATGATTTCACAAGTCCAGAAACAGCAGAAAGGGAGCTGGGAAGAAGATACAAAAGATAATAAACATTGTACTAAGTAGTGATAATTGTGAAATTTTATTTTATTTTTTGAAGTCACACAAAAGGGTAGAAAATAGAGACAGTGTTGGATGTAAATAACCAACCATAGATTGTAGAGGAATTGAACAAGATTTAAAAAAACTAGCTTAAATTAATATATTTTATACAAGAAAACAATTGGTACGAAGGCTGAATTAGAACCATGATTTTCAAGGTCAGGCACACGCTTCCTTAGTCCCTCAAAAAACCCAACCCTTAAAAGAATATTTAGTCTGGCATGGTGTTAATCCTGGGCAATGGTATCCTCTAAATGCCCTTAATGCTCTCCTAATTTCTGGCATGAAATAGCTGAAAAAAGAAATTTGGAAAATGCACATTTGCGGTATTCCACCAATTCTACACTGCTATTTAATAAACAGGTCAATTTATTATCATCCAACCTGACTTTTACCATCTACTCAACCCTAACTTTGAACTCTTAAATCACTAATTGAGAATAAGTGATTCAAGGTTTTAGTAACAAATTTTTTAACAAATTAATAGTTTTTCTGGAATATGAACATTTTACTTTATTATAAAGTACACTGTACTAGAAGGTTCATTCAAATCTAGGTAATTTCAGTTACATTCCTATGGCTTTTGAGCAAAAAAAGCAAGCAGTTTTACTGTATGTACACGATATCAAACATCAAGATTTAAATTAATTATTTATTAATAACCTACATTAGCTCTGGATTTCTAAGATTTACATCCAAAAAGCATATTTTATTTACATGCTGTTGACATTTTAAAGAAAATGAAATAAAATCGTATCTGTTTAGGAATTATGATCTATCCCAAATTAAAAAAAAAAAGATACATTTAACACCGCAAAATGTTTAAAACATTTACAATAAAAAATAGCTTTCTGTGCCAATTATACTTACTCTCTAAGAATGTAAAATTGCATTGATAACTGCACTAACTACAATTAGACTTGAAACATTTAAAACCTGAGAATCAAATCTAAACTTTTTTTTTTTTTTTAAGAAAATCCTACAAGCTTATATGTCCTACTGTTATTTTAAGCACAGATTGGTCAGTGGTTAATAATAATAATAAAAAAAACACCCCAGTGCATTATTTCTGCAGCTCCCAAAGAATAGATCACTATAAAATTGTTGCAGTAGTTCAATAAATGCCAGGCCTGCCAGCCACAGTAATGCCTATTTCAAAGTGTCCTTTCCCACACACTATAACTAATCAAATAACGAGTGTCTTTGGCCAATTCCTGTGAGGGTTCCTACATTTATGTAAGCATGCATTTGCTTAAGTATGCATCTGGGATCTTTGCGGTTTCCCACCTCAAACATACATATACAGGTGTTCTAACAGCTAGATTAGAGGAAAAAAAAAAAAAAAAAAAAAAAAAAAAGAGGCATAGAAAGTTAGAAATACTGGCCAGAAAACATCCAAAGTCTAATGAGAAGTTTTATACCAACCCCAAAGGCCTTTTAAAATCAGCTTAGCTCTGGAGCAGCGTTCACTATATTACTAAACACCATGTACCTTACATTTAAAAAATAAAATAAATTGTTGCGCTAACAGGTACACTTTACTGCACTGCAGGATGTAAAAAGTAACCACACCTATAAAGCCTGGGGAAGAGAAGCATCGCGCACAGAGTCATTCCATTTTGTAGTAGCCATTTTATTTCTGCACTTGGAAACATTATGCTTCTTCTTGAGAGAAATAGCTTTCCCCTCCCTCCTCGTATCTTTCAGAAACTGTGCTTGACCAAGAGCATCTCCCTACAGGGGTTTGAGAAGCCTAGGGTTTTCCCATTCTGGAGCTATTTTCCACGGCTTTAATAGTTTGCCCTTTTCGTGCAGATGGTTGGCAATGTAGTAGTGGTCTTTCCAGGCTGAAAGCAGGCAAACTGCAATTGATCAGCCTCTACAGGCAGCCTTGCCTCGTAGACTATCCAACAGGTTGCATTTAAGTAAATTGACACTCCCTGGGACCCAGAAACTCTTATCTCAAATGACCACCAATACCATTCACCAAAATAAACACATGAGTATCTGTAGCTCTGAAACAAAGTTACTTCTGCATTTCATAGGGACTGATCTTTGCCATTTAAGATGGGAGCATTTCATTAGAGCTTTAAACTAACTGCACCATATGGCAACATATTCAAGTCTTATGCCACATCAACCTAACTTATAATTTGAAAACTAGATCTGCATTGCTACTACTTCACCTCCTTCACCACTAAGACAATGTAAAACCAACTCCCAGCATAAGCTTTTTTCCTGGGTTTAGGATCTTTCTTTTTGTAAGGCACTCACGTGAACAAGTACACAGGTCCATTTATTTATACAGAAATAAAATCAACAATGTGGCAAACATGCTTGTAAGTAATAAGAAAAATGTGATACCTGCTAATTAGGTGACATATTTTACTACCCAATATAGCACTACCCAATGGTTTTTTTTCTCCAAAACCAAAAAAAAAAATCTACAACTTGGTATGTTACGGTGGGTTATATCAGGGATTTTTTTTTTTTTAATGTTTTACAGAAATTACCTTTAAAAAAAAATACAAAAAACCAATGATGGTCCCCAGCCACAAGTTTTGTCATTCATTGACATAAAGCAGCAGATACATTGAAGAACATTCTGCTATTAATACATAGCAAATCAAACTTTTTCTAGTATTTGAGTTTAAGACGGTGTGTTTTATCCCTTTGATTCTGGAATACAAGTAGACTAATTTTAAGGAAAAAAAAAAGAGCAAGTGTATACAAATTAAGAGAAAACTGCAGGAGTTAGAATATACATGACTTCATGCAATGATACTATACTTCATCCCTAGAAACATATAAGATTTCAAAAGTCATCCTCTGTGGAAATAAACTCTTCCAAACTACTGGGGAAAAAAAAAAAATTCTATACACTGCTAAGGTTTTCATAGGTGATCAAGATGTTGACTCAGTTTCTTCGCCAGCTACTGTTTGACAAACCTTGCTCTCATTCACTGTTCAGAAGAGTTTGCATCCCAACAACAGGAGGTTGCTTGGCACCAATAAGGCAAATCACTTGGTACAGTTTTTACTAAGGTTAAATAAACCCATGATGTCAATCATTGCTTTTTGGATGTTTTTTCCAAAACGATGAGAATCCTTTAAAAACAAACAAAAAACAAAACCAAAGACTTGTACTGTCAATCAACAGTTATGTTTTAGGCAAAAGAAGGAACCTTTTAATATTTTCTAGTTTTGGAGCTTACGGAATTAGGACATGTATTTTACCATAAAATGGGGAATTTAATCCACAAAAATTTTAATGCTATACAAGTTAATCCAGGTTTATGCAATTACTGACTAATGAGTTCTTCATTATGCATTTACTTCCCTACAAACAGAACTGAGATCATCTCCTTTTGAAATCAGGTGCATCTGTAGCTTTCCGTTACTTTAAAATACCTGGGTTTCGGTAGTGTTTTTTAATACAAGGTTTTGCAAAAGCTCATTTTCAGAAAAAAAAGAATGTCAGAAAGTGTATGACTAATGACCTAGAAGTACTGAAAGAGCAGAAAAACATTTTGTATTTGAGTTCCTATCAGAATCCTGAATTGTTTGCCATTGAAAAATTACATAAAGTATTGAAAATGAAAATCACAATTATCTAAGTATAAACAAATTATTAACTTCTTCTGTTTATTCTAAGTGTCAGATGAATGGTACAAGGAAGAAATTAAGATTACAAATATAAATTATTAGCTACATTACAGGACCTACTACAAAGACCCTACTAATATCAAGGCCATGCACATGAAATGCTGCCTTTTCTGTATGGACCTTTAAAACTACAGGGAAATTTAAAGTACAAGCTAACAGGCAACTGAAGAACAATTTGAACTATGAAAAAACAAAGTCATATTTCCTAATCTTTAATGATTTACCAAAGGCACCAAGATCTCTCGGACAAGTTAAGGTCAAAAGAGGAAAACTAGTTCAGCTATGTAATCCTGAACAAACTCAGCATTGAAGTCATAAAAATCTAAAGGGGAAGGATGAGTTGAAGCTCACTCAAAGCAGGCCTCCGCAACAGCAGGATACTGAATAGATGACATCTACTACATTCTTATAATGGGTGTTATTCTAATAAATTTTTGATTAATTATGTTTCTCAGGCACAGATTACAACTTACGGGCTAGCTTCTTTCAGTATTATTTAAACCAGGAAGCTTTAAAGAATAGAGAGCATACATTTTACTCTGTCTTTACAACTGCAGCCAGAGATAAATCAAAGCAAAACTGTAATAACAAAAAACAGGAGACACCCATCTTACTGTTTACAGGACAGATATGAGTCGTTTTACATGAGTTCCAGGGAACTACACGTGTAAAGATGACCTTGGGCCACATGCTTTCTTTTATGCTCGAAAGCATAAGTGAAATAGAATATGGTTTACTTGGTTCATAAAGCTATTAAATTTATAGAAGTGGAGGCAAAAAACAAAAAAAAAAAAAAAAAAAAAAAAAAAAAGAGGCATAGAAAGTTAGAAATACTGGCCAGAAAACATCCAAAGTCTAATGAGAAGTTTTATACCAACCCCAAAGGCCTTTTAAAATCAGCTTAGCTCTGGAGCAGCGTTCACTATATTACTAAACACCATGTACCTTACATTTAAAAAATAAAATAAATTGTTGCGCTAACAGGTACACTTTACTGCACTGCAGGATGTAAAAAGTAACCACACCTATAAAGCCTGGGGAAGAGAAGCATCGCGCACAGAGTCATTCCATTTTGTAGTAGCCATTTTATTTCTGCACTTGGAAACATTATGCTTCTTCTTGAGAGAAATAGCTTTCCCCTCCCTCCTCGTATCTTTCAGAAACTGTGCTTGACCAAGAGCATCTCCCTACAGGGGTTTGAGAAGCCTAGGGTTTTCCCATTCTGGAGCTATTTTCCACGGCTTTAATAGTTTGCCCTTTTCGTGCAGATGGTTGGCAATGTAGTAGTGGTCTTTCCAGGCTGAAAGCAGGCAAACTGCAATTGATCAGCCTCTACAGGCAGCCTTGCCTCGTAGACTATCCAACAGGTTGCATTTAAGTAAATTGACACTCCCTGGGACCCAGAAACTCTTATCTCAAATGACCACCAATACCATTCACCAAAATAAACACATGAGTATCTGTAGCTCTGAAACAAAGTTACTTCTGCATTTCATAGGGACTGATCTTTGCCATTTAAGATGGGAGCATTTCATTAGAGCTTTAAACTAACTGCACCATATGGCAACATATTCAAGTCTTATGCCACATCAACCTAACTTATAATTTGAAAACTAGATCTGCATTGCTACTACTTCACCTCCTTCACCACTAAGACAATGTAAAACCAACTCCCAGCATAAGCTTTTTTCCTGGGTTTAGGATCTTTCTTTTTGTAAGGCACTCACGTGAACAAGTACACAGGTCCATTTATTTATACAGAAATAAAATCAACAATGTGGCAAACATGCTTGTAAGTAATAAGAAAAATGTGATACCTGCTAATTAGGTGACATATTTTACTACCCAATATAGCACTACCCAATGGTTTTTTTTCTCCAAAACCAAAAAAAAAAATCTACAACTTGGTATGTTACGGTGGGTTATATCAGGGATTTTTTTTTTTTTAATGTTTTACAGAAATTACCTTTAAAAAAAAATACAAAAAACCAATGATGGTAAACAGCCACAAGTTTTGTCATTCATTGACATAAAGCAGCAGATACATTGAAGAACATTCTGCTATTAATACATAGCAAATCAAACTTTTTCTAGTATTTGAGTTTAAGACGGTGTGTTTTATCCCTTTGATTCTGGAATACAAGTAGACTAATTTTAAGGAAAAAAAAAAGAGCAAGTGTATACAAATTAAGAGAAAACTGCAGGAGTTAGAATATACATGACTTCATGCAATGATACTATACTTCATCCCTAGAAACATATAAGATTTCAAAAGTCATCCTCTGTGGAAATAAACTCTTCCAAACTACTGGGGAAAAAAAAAAAATTCTATACACTGCTAAGGTTTTCATAGGTGATCAAGATGTTGACTCAGTTTCTTCGCCAGCTACTGTTTGACAAACCTTGCTCTCATTCACTGTTCAGAAGAGTTTGCATCCCAACAACAGGAGGTTGCTTGGCACCAATAAGGCAAATCACTTGGTACAGTTTTTACTAAGGTTAAATAAACCCATGATGTCAATCATTGCTTTTTGGATGTTTTTTCCAAAACGATGAGAATCCTTTAAAAACAAACAAAAAACAAAACCAAAGACTTGTACTGTCAATCAACAGTTATGTTTTAGGCAAAAGAAGGAACCTTTTAATATTTTCTAGTTTTGGAGCTTACGGAATTAGGACATGTATTTTACCATAAAATGGGGAATTTAATCCACAAAAATTTTAATGCTATACAAGTTAATCCAGGTTTATGCAATTACTGACTAATGAGTTCTTCATTATGCATTTACTTCCCTACAAACAGAACTGAGATCATCTCCTTTTGAAATCAGGTGCATCTGTAGCTTTCCGTTACTTTAAAATACCTGGGTTTCGGTATTGTTTTTTAATACAAGGTTTTGCAAAAGCTCATTTTCAGAAAAAAAAGAATGTCAGAAAGTGTATGACTAATGACCTAGAAGTACTGAAAGAGCAGAAAAACATTTTGTATTTGAGTTCCTATCAGAATCCTGAATTGTTTGCCATTGAAAAATTACATAAAGTATTGAAAATGAAAATCACAATTATCTAAGTATAAACAAATTATTAACTTCTTCTGTTTATTCTAAGTGTCAGATGAATGGTACAAGGAAGAAATTAAGATTACAAATATAAATTATTAGCTACATTACAGGACCTACTACAAAGACCCTACTAATATCAAGGCCATGCACATGAAATGCTGCCTTTTCTGTATGGACCTTTAAAACTACAGGGAAATTTAAAGTACAAGCTAACAGGCAACTGAAGAACAATTTGAACTATGAAAAAACAAAGTCATATTTCCTAATCTTTAATGATTTACCAAAGGCACCAAGATCTCTCGGACAAGTTAAGGTCAAAAGAGGAAAACTAGTTCAGCTATGTAATCCTGAACAAACTCAGCATTGAAGTCATAAAAATCTAAAGGGGAAGGATGAGTTGAAGCTCACTCAAAGCAGGCCTCCGCAACAGCAGGATACTGAATAGATGACATCTACTACATTCTTATAATGGGTGTTATTCTAATAAATTTTTGATTAATTATGTTTCTCAGGCACAGATTACAACTTACGGGCTAGCTTCTTTCAGTATTATTTAAACCAGGAAGCTTTAAAGAATAGAGAGCATACATTTTACTCTGTCTTTACAACTGCAGCCAGAGATAAATCAAAGCAAAACTGTAATAACAAAAAACAGGAGACACCCATCTTACTGTTTACAGGACAGATATGAGTCGTTTTACATGAGTTCCAGGGAACTACACGTGTAAAGATGACCTTGGGCCACATGCTTTCTTTTATGCTCGAAAGCATAAGTGAAATAGAATATGGTTTACTTGGTTCATAAAGCTATTAAATTTATAGAAGTGGAGGCAAAAAACCAAACCCGCAAAATAGCATATGTTGAGAAAGAAAAAACACATTATAACTGTATGTTGCAAGTCCTACTAAATTTTTTTAGACAAGGAGTAGAACAATTTTATAAGCAGATATCAGAACAGATTTGTTAAACCATAGGAAAGGACTGATCCTTACCGTCTCAGAACAAGATATTTTGCTGGAGACGTGGAAATGGATGGAATTTTCATCCAAGATAATATAAGAAACACCATAACCATCATCAGCCACCTAGGGGAAGAAAGAAGAGAAAAACAAGTTCTAAACTTTTTCTTTTTCCTTCCTTCCTAAATTAGCTTATACATAATTACACAATTCTTACTGTGCAGTTTTTAAAATCAGTTGCAATTTCTCCTCAAGCAAAAATTAAGCTTCCACATTTAATGCATCATTTCTGAAGATTGATTCCACTTAAGGAAACAGTTCTAGTCTCATCTAGTGCATGGAATTAACATTTTCTGAATATACATCTGTAATATTTCCCAGGTTTAGTATTTTGAAATAGAATACTTGTTCAAAGACCTTCTGCTATCAAGTTGTGGTCCTAAGCAGCTGTAAAGCTTCAGTGCTTAAATAGAAAGGAATAAAGTAGTTCAGTTGTATACCTAAACATCCTGTTTCATGTGATCACTCTGCAGTGATCACAAATACAGTACATAAATATGGAGTATACAAGCCTTGTATTATGAAAACTTGCCCAAAGACAAAGTCATCTAACTCTACAGCAAAGGCATGATTCTGAACTCCCATATCATGAGCAGAGCTCTGGTCCTATTTCAACATTAGCAGCATTAACTGTACCAAGTTTCAGTCTGATGTTATATTTAAAGCATGCCTAGTAACCACAGACTATCCTGCTGCCACCCTCCTTCCTCTCTTTCCTAACTCAGAGGATCACAAGCTTCAAGCTCTTTGCTGCCACTGCTGCTAAGCAGCCTGATAGTCTTCTCTCCATTAGTGCTTCAGGGCTATATTCTAGAGAATGCTTAAAAAAAAACCAAAACAAAAACACAAACCAAAACCAACAAACACCACACATACATGGAAAGCCTGATGTACTGAATTTCTGGGCTACTTCAGCAAACCAAAGCACAGTTTTTGTAAGGATACAAGAAATGATGAAGGGAAATGTAAGCAGGAAAGGCAGACAACTGAAGGAAGGAAATTAAAGGAATGAAGAAATATTAAGAAGGGAGCAGTTAATGTAGCATTAGCAAAAACAAAAGGAAAAAAGTGTTAGAGATTCCTGCAGCCAAAACCCTATTTTACTGCCAGACCACACCTTTTTGGGGATTCTAAATACTGACTTTATAATCTGCTGGAGCAAGCCAGTTTCTCATGAATGAGCAGCATTGCAATAGCTAGGCTTCCTTGATACAGCAATTTAAGCTCATTCCAACTTCAAGAACTACTGAAAGCTCTATCAGAAACATGAATAAATTAAAAAAAAAAAAATCACAAAAAAATTTTGGCTTGACGAACCAGCCAAAATACACTGTACTTGTCATCCTAATTTCTGTGTGGCAAAGAACAGTCCCGTGATCCCTCTCATTGTTCTTCCAATAGAAATGCTTTTTGAAAACAGATTAATCTAGTCTATAGTTCCATAAAGTCTGCTTAACAGATCTTGTTAACAACAAGATCATCATCAATGGCCATGTTCAAAACCTGGTAAAATACTACAGCAAGTCAGAAGCTTGTAAAATCTCTAACAATAGACTAGTTTCTTGAAAGTCTACAGAAGCTGTAGAATGTGGTTTTATTCTTGACTTAAGCACTATTCACACTTAGGAGGGCAAGCAGAACAATGTGAGTAGCTTAATTTGGAGGAAAGCGTGAACATATTTTTTATTTAATCAGGAAATATAAAGAACAAGTCAAGTATAACTACTTTTACAAATCCCAACCTTAAAATCTAGTTTAAGTAATAAGGCATCTGTCACTGTAATAATACCCTAATGTACAGAAGCTCTGGGCATAGGTAATGTGATAAAAGCCCCCACTTTATCAGATCCCTCTGCCATGGAGCCCTGTACCACATTTGATAACTGTGTATTTCCTTAAGAATAATCCATTCTTGTAGTGGAATATGAGAAAAGGTGATGCAGATTCTTCTGAGCACATCCACATCATGGGAAAGCATTAAACACATGCATTTAAAAGTGTATCTTGCACCTTTGAGGTGCAACATTAGGGTATTACAGATCTGAAATTTTCAGACTGGCATATTCAAAATAAAACTGTTTTTAAAGGGGTACTTGTATTTAGCAAACAAACCGGTCCAAATCCTCCACCACAGGATAACATCTCAGGGTTCTTCTTTAGATCAATGTGTTGCTGTGGTGTCTGACTCGTTGACAGCCTCCAAGGCTCTGACAAAACCTTATTAGATATGAAAGAGATGCAAACAAGTATAATACACTGTTTAAGAACATGCAACTTTCTCAAAAACTAGTCAAGATAAGTTAGAAAGTACTCAATAAAGCAATGTTAAGGATAACTCCAGTTCCCATTTCAATGGAATGAAAAATTAAGAAGGTTAAAAGAAACAGCTAAACTTGTCCTGATATGCAAACCATTAACATATGAGGTCGTGATGTCTATTCCTCAAAGAGAGTAAAAGTTCTTTCAATAGAAATGCTATTTCAAAACAGATTAATCTGGTCTATAGCCTAGTAAATTCTGCATAACAGGTCTTGTTAACAACAAGATCATTAACTGCCATATTCAAATCCCGGTAAGATACTACATCAAGTTAGAAGCTTGTAAAATCTCTAACAATACACACGTATCTTGAAAGTCTGCAGAAGCTGTAGAAAGTTGTTTTATTCTTGACTTAGCCACTACTCACATTTAGGAGGGCAAGCAGACAAATGTGAGTAGCTTAATTTGGAGGCAAGCTGGAACACATTTTTTATTAATCAGAAAACATGAACAAGTGCAATGTAATTACTTTTATAAAACCCAACCTTAAAATCTAGTTTAAGTAATAAAGCATTTGTTATGGTAATAAACAGTGACATTAATGTTGTGCATTAAAAAAAAAAAAAAAAAAAAATCACAATATACAGCTCCTTTAACTCACAGTAACTTAAAAAAAAGTTATTTTGTCACAGTTCCAAAAGAACATTCTTGAGAGAAAACACATAGCCTCTGTTGTGCTGCCTTGAAAATACGTAAAAGCCACAAGCAATGAATTTTTTTTTTGGTAATACTGACTATATCTTTCTTGCAATCCTTAAGATGTATTATACTGCAAAGCTCACAGAAAGCATTACTATAGGTTTATTAATAAGTGTATACATAAAGCAAAATGAAACTAACTTGTAATCTACCAGCAGATGTTAAACAATGCCACCTAAACTCTTACCTTTTTTCTTAGGAAAACCAGAGTTCTACAAGTATGTAAGTAGATACCACAAAACGCTAAGTAAATAAAGGATTATTTACTATAATTAAGTCATCAATAAAAGTCACTTACTTCCTTAAGGAAAGGAGAATCTACAGCAAGGTACTTGGACACAACATAAAGGCAGAACAGATGGCGGTCAATGCCAGCACCAGTCATGGCAAGACGATATAAGTGCTGATGTTTGGCAGCAGCAAGCCGAAAGAACTTAAGCTTATTTTCATTCTAACAATGAAAAAAGACGAAGAAAAATCAGTTAAGTGAACTGGGTTGAGGACAGAGGTGTAGAAATTAAGTTACAGCAATGGTTCTCAAGACTAAAGCACTTATGGGTCAACAAGTACAAGATAATGTATGCAACTAACACCAAATACTAGTATCCTCTGGCTTTTCAACCTCATGTATTCAATTTCAGGTATTAGCAATTGTCAACTATTACCCACTGTAAACAGTGCATAATGAAAACAAATTTGTATTTTAAGTGTGATCTAACCCCAGAATCAAACATGATTACAACTCAAGTTTACCACATTATTGTGTATTTAGTTTCTAGAGACACTGGTCTTAAAAAGTTATAGAAGAGCAAATCTCAACATGATTTAAGAAAAGCTGGAACTGCAACAGCCATTTTAGGAGGCAAACTGGCAACCCTGAAGGTATTGGGGTCCATGAATGCTGATTGTTTTTTAAAAGCCTTCTCTTAAGAGTTCAGGAGCAGGCAATTCCAAAGTGTCGGAAGTCAAGAAAGAGGGGCAGAAGGCTGGCTTGGTTGAGCAGAGAGGGATCTTCTTCTAGAACTTAGGTGGAAAAAGAAAGTATGTGAATGCTGATTGTTTTTTAAAAGCCTTCTCTTAAGAGTTCAGGAGCAGGCAATTCCAAAGTGTCGGAAGTCAAGAAAGAGGGGCAGAAGGCTGGCTTGGTTGAGCAGAGAGGGATCTTCTTCTAGAACTTAGGTGGAAAAAGAAAGTATGTGGAGATTGAAGCAAAGACCAGGTGACACGGGAGGACTGCAGAGGTGCTGTTTGCCACTGCAGGGAGAAAATTCATGTGGCCAAAGGTCAATTAGGGTTCAAGTTGGCCAGTACTGTGAAGGACAACGAAAAGGTCTCCTCAAAAATAGGGACATAGACAAAGCAGAGACCTTCAATGCCGCCTTCACCTCTGTCTTTAACACTGATGATGGGCCCCGGGACCGCCCCCCCACCCCAGAGCCCTGTGTTGGAAGACTGTGACTGGGGGGATGATGAACTCCCAGCCAACTCTGAACTTGTTCGAGACTTGCTGCTCCAGCTGGAGGAACATAAGTCTATGGGGCCTGGTGGGATTCATCCCAGGGTACTAAAAGAGCTAGCCTATGTTATCGTGGGACCTCTCTCCATTATTTTTCAATGGTCTTGGGAATCTGGAGAGATCCCAGTCAACTAGAAGCTGGCAAAAGTTGTCCCAATTTTCAAGAAGGGTAAGAAGGAAGACCCTGGTAATTGCAGGCCTGTCAGTCTCAATTCAGTGCCTGGTAAAATCATGGAGAAGGTTATTCTGGGAGTTATTGAAAAACAATTGAGAGACAATGTAGTCATTGGTCACAGCCAACATGGGTTCACGAGGAGAAAGGCCTGTTTAACAACTTCCTTTTATGACAAGGTCACCCATCTAGTTGGCCAAGGGAAGCCAATAGATGTGGGGGGTTTTGGATTTTAGCAAAGAGTTTGATAACTGTCTCTCACAGCATCCTTCTGGACAAAATGTCCAGCGTACAGCTAGACAAGTCCATAACACATTGGGTGAACAATTGGCTGACAGGTTGGGCTCAAAGAGTTATAATAAATGGGGTTACATCAGTCTGGCAGCCAGTCACCAGTAGGGCTCCCCAGGGCTCAATTTTAGGAACAGTGCTCTTTAATGTTTTTATAAAGGACCTGGATGCAGGAGTTGAATGTACATTAAGTAAGTTTCCTGATGATACTAAATTAGGAGGAGCTGTGGACTCCCTCGAGGCTAGAGAGGCCTTACAGAGAGATCTGGATAGACTAGAGAGCTGGGCAATCACCAACCGTATGAAATTTAACAAGAGCAAGTGCCGGATTCTGCACCTGGGACAGGGTAATCCTGGTTATACGTACAAACTGGGGGATGAGAGGCTGAAGAGGAGCCCCGCAGAAAGAGATCTGGGGGTTTGGGTCAATGACAAATTGAATAGGAGTCAACAGTGTGCCCTGGCAGCCAAAGGGGCCAACCGTGTCCTGGGGTGCATCAAGCACAGCATAGCTAACTGGTTGAGGGAGCTGATTGTCCCACTCTACACTGTACTGGTGCGGCCCACACCTTGAGTACTGTGTGCAGTTTTGAGCACCTCAATATAAGAAGGACATCAAACTATTAGAGTGTGTCCAGAGGAGAGCGATCAAGATGGTCAAAGGGCAAGACTTGCGAGGAGCAGCTGAGGTCACTTGGTTTCATAGAATCATAGAATCATTGAGGTTGGAAAAGACCTCTAAGATCATCGAGTCCAACCGGACCCAGGAGTCGAATGTATATTAGGTAAGTTTCCTGATGATACTAAATTAGGAGGAGCTGTGGACTCCCTCGAGGCTAGAGAGGCCTTACAGAGAGATCTGGATAGACTAGAGAGCTGGGCAATCACCAACCGTATGAAATTTAACAAGAGCAAGTGCCGGATTCTGCACCTGGGACAGGGTAATCCTGGTTATACGTACAAACTGGGGGATGAGAGGCTGAAGAGGAGCCCCGCAGAAAGAGATCTGGGGGTTTGGGTCAATGACAAATTGAATAGGAGTCAACAGTGTGCCCTGGCAGCCAAAGGGGCCAACCGTGTCCTGGGGTGCATCAAGCACAGCATAGCTAACTGGTTGAGGGAGCTGATTGTCCCACTCTACACTGTACTGGTGCGGCCCACACCTTGAGTACTGTGTGCAGTTTTGGGCGCCTCAATATAAGAAGGACATCAAACTATTAGAGTGTGTCCAGAGGAGAGCGATCAAGATGGTCAAAGGGCAAGACTTGCGAGGAGCAGCTGAGGTCACTTGGTTTGTTCAGCTTAGAGATAAGAAGGCTGAGGGGTGACCTCATCACAGTCTACAACTGCCTCAAGAGGGGCAGCGGAGGGGGAGGAGGTGATCTCCTCTCTCTGGTGACCAGTGACAGGACACAAGGAAATGGAATGAAGCTGCGTTAAGGGAGGTTCAGATTGGACATTAGGAAAAGGTTCTTCACTGAGAGGGTGGTCGGTCACTGAAACAGGCTCCCTAGGGAAGTGGTCAGGGCACCAAGCCTGTCAGAGTTCAAGGAGTGTCTGGATGACACTCTTAGTCATATGGTTTAGGTAGTCCTGTGAGGAGCAGGGAGTTGGACTTGATGATCCTTATGGGTCTCTTCCACCTTGAGATATTCTATGATTCTATGAACACTGTATGAATGTTGCAAGGGCTGAAAGAAAGTGTCTGTTCAAAACATTTATATAGCCACTCTGTTAAGATTTTATAATGTGGAATGCAACACACTGAGTATATGGCAACCTGTCACTTCTTATCTCCAGTATCACTGCATTTTGGGACACAGTGAGCAGCCTATTTGCCTCCAGCATGAGAAACTAATAAAACACTTGTAGTCATGCTAAGCATGCCTACCGTTGGCATTAAGGAGTAAAGCTTTGTGGATAGTCCATGGAGGATACAAGTGCTCAGGAAAAATTCTAAGGAAAAACCCAGAAAAAAGTAGAAGCAAGCAGTAAAGGCAGACAACTCTTTATGTGTTATGAAAATTATATTAAATGCATTTATGTATTATTTTAAAAAAACTAAAAATTGCATTATGAAGGCAGGGTTCCTCTGCTCTGTGGCTGATCATTCCCAATGAAGGGCAGTAATGAACCAACAAGTCTGAAAAAGAAAGAATCATGTTTGTAGTAACCATTACAAAAAAGTGAGCAGAATGAAGTCTGCTATATATATATGATCTTGCCACGTATGGGGTTACCTTATTCCTTTAACAAAAATGCAGATGTGTAACTGCAGAGATGTAATAGCAGTAAGTTCTGACATTAGGACTATGTTAAAATTACTTTCTATACACAGGGTAGTTGTACAGTAGCTGTGCCAAGTCATGTTATGTATGACATGTTGACATGGCTGGATTTCCAGACTTGCACTGGTCTGATCACAGCTCCTAGCATAGCATATTGAGAAATCATGGGGGATTTTACCTACATAGAACTTCCAGAAAGAGGAAGGAGAAAAAAGTTTCTCTCTTTCTCTGTGCATCTATTTTCTTGCAGTAACATTTATTCATAGAATCATGGGGCTAGAAAGAACCTCAACTGTTCATCTGCTTAGACTTCTCTGCCTTAAGATCTGATCAACTAAAACTCTTTCCTGAAGGACCATTATGTAACTTACTTTTAAAGATTTTCAAAGTGAAAAAACAACCTCCCCAAGTAATCTGTTTCAGGCTTCTCACTATTTCCCTCCTTACTAGCAGGAGATGTTTTCCTAATGTGTTTCTTTCTGAAATTTAAGTCTATTACTTCTTGAGACAGAGAACAGATTATTCCCATCATCTCTGCATCAGCCTTTTTATCCCCTTGAGCACAACCTGGCTCTCCACCTCTTCCACAGTGTTCTCTCTTCTTTAGACTAGGCAAGAATAATTAAGTTCAAACTCTCCTCACAGATCCTCTTCAGAGGTTTCTAACCATCCTTCTTGCTCTCCTTTAGACTCTCTCCAATCCACCCATACCTCAAGTGTGGTGTCCAAAACTGGACACACCACCCCAGCTAATGCTGTACTAGAAAAAAAGTGCAGAGACAAAAGACTACTAAAAATAAAGGGCAGGACTATCTAAAGTGAGGGCTCCATTTTTCCAAATGGCATAGCACTGAATGTGCTATGTAAGTGTTCAGTTACTGATTATTATAGTCCTAGATCTTTTTCATTAGAACTTCTACCCACACAGCTGTTACTCAGGCCTGGATGCAATACCTTGAGTACATTCCTATCTAACAAAATCCTCTTTTTCAGGTCAAATTTTTATTGACTCTGAAGAAATGGAAATCCCCTTCAGCTTAGCAAAACCTGCAAATGTAATGATTTATTTCATCAGCTGTATCTGTGAACAGTGGATTAAAGAACAGACAGTCCTTAAGACAACCGTCTTCCATTTTGATAGCAAACATTTTAACCGGTATTGTCCAAGTTTTGCAAACCCAGTTTTCCCCTAGACCATGCTTCCTTTGTTTGCTAATTAGAACATCACAATAAAGATTAAAAAGCCCATTGAAATCAACATATAAGAGCAACTACTTATTTCCTGTGAATAATACTTGCTTCCCTATCAGAAAGGAAAGCCTAACTGGTATGAGATTACTTGTTTTACAAATCTATGTTTGAATTTTATGAGTCACAAAAATTTCACAAGTCATCTTAGTTTTCTGGAGTTCAGGAACTCTAAGAAATGGCATATTTGGCTAAGTTACTGCCATTCTCTTTCGGAATAGCCTTGAATTTCTGCCATATTGACAGAAAATGTGGACAATTACCTTATGCTGCACTTCCTTCCTAAAAAACAAAGGCATCACTCTAAGCGTTTAAAAACGACCTGGGAACTTATACGGATATCTAGTGATAACTCATGTGCCTTATGGATTGTATAAGGCAACAACACCATGAACTTACATTTTCAGTTGGGTCTTCCATGGTTCGAACAAAATTACATGATTCAACAGTACACGAACGAACAGTTTCGGTCCTGCCTTCTCTGAACAAGCGTGTCATAGAAGCTTCATATGTTAAAGAAAATTTTCCCATATCCTTGAAAAGCAAAAAATAAGAACTTAAAGGTTTAGCCAGAGTTAGCCACTCTTTCTTAATCAACAGTTCAAGGTAAGCACACAGGATATGAATCACTCCACAAATTAAACTCAACATTAAGTTTTTAGTAGCCCACCATTAGCGGTCTTACCTAAAGATAATAAAGGCAAAAATAAAATTAGTAGCAGGATTTGATAAATGCTAATAGAACAACCAAACTAGCAAGGACTACCCTCTGAGTTTTATATTCAGTCTTCTTCAGTTTATAACAGAAGCTGATTTAAAGGCTATCAAAAACCTATTTGAAAGTTCAGTGGCTTCCTAATTAACAGAGCTGTGGTAAGTAATAGAGGAAACTAACATCCTTAAAAGTATTTTCAGTTAAAGGTTTAATAGCATGGAGATGCATGCCATTGTGGAGATTTTCAAGAATGTGAGAACTGAAAACAGTCTGCAAAATCCAGAAAGTGTGGCTTCCATATTTCCTGTAGATGTGCACAATCTACAGATTAAAAGTTGCCAAATGATAGTTTATCTAACACGTTAGCAACTCTACCTGTCTAAAACATACATCAGAACAGATCGTGAAAGTCTGTTCAGTTTTAGATTAAGAGGATGGGTGTTCAAAATAAAAGAGGTGGGTGGGTAATCAAACTATTTGCCACGTAGCTACCCTAACCAATGGTAAGAAAGACTGTAAGTGGTAATAGCAGCCAGGAAATCTGGATGCTTTGAAAAACCATTTGGAATGACTTTTTAAAAAAAAAAAAAAAAAAAAAAGTAGAACAGTAACTCAACAGTGACAGCTAGAAAGCAAAATGAAAAACATGCATCTTGCTACACTGGTGTTTTCTGAAAGCACATTATAGAGAAGGTGAACTAACAGAAGAAAACAGGCAGGCATTTCTGCTAATCCTGTTAGGGAGTGTCCATGACTACTGAATTAAGGGTGACTCCAAACTAAAAGATAAATTTAACACTGTTTAGACTACAACACTGTTTAGATTATAACCACAGCTACTAGAAAGTTTCATATCTACTTCTTTCAAGTCCAAAATGCCTAGGGATAGACCAACTAAGCAGCAGAGGAAAATTTGCACCAGTGTCGATACACCAACCTTTGGACAATTAATTTCCAGCTAGTAATCTGTTTAGGGTTTGTACCAATTTCTATTGAATGTCTTTAATAACCTTGCACAAGCAGTGCAAGATTACTCTAAAGTACTTTACACAGTCACGTTTTAATCACAAACACGCTATACCCAGTTTAATGAGATTCCATAAGCCAGAAACAGTCTGTTGTTCTTACCCGATAGTGAGCAAGCTGCAGGGCAAGTTGCACGAAGGCATCAGGGCTGGTTTTTGCTTTCTTTATTAGTCCCTTCCCAAAAGCATCAAAGAAAAATGAATGGAAGTCCACATCATCTGCCAGAGCTATGGCAGTGCTCAGAGACCTCTCAATCACTTCTTGACACTAAAACAAACAAATAAATAAATGCACATATGTGCATATACATGCATTTGATGGCATTTGAGAGGAATGTTGAAAAAGCACAAGTATTTTTAATTGATAAATAAGAAACGCTGCCTTTATGCATGCCAGGAATATCATTATCTAAATAAACTCCCTTTGGAGAAAGAGGAGAAGCTATCTTTGCCAGAAAGTTAAAATTTGAAAAGCTAATGAAAAATAAGTTTTAAGCCAGTACACATCTGGAGTCCAAAAATTACACTTTAAAAAACACCCCCACATTAAGACTGTTCAGATCACTAGAACGTAATAGAATGACTGACAGAGACAGAATGGCAATAGTGTTGCGTGGCTTCCAATCTGCCATACATGCTTAAACATATCACTAACCATTACCTTTTTATTCAAAATTAAAATCCAAATAGGTGATTGCAGTTTGTCTTGAACTAAACTATTACACAAGAGCATTTGTTGTGACTATAGTAACGAAACCTCAGCAACTTAAACTTCATTTTAATACAGTTACTATTTAAAATAAGTATCCACTTATTTTTGACATTTTACCAACCAAGAAAGTTTCTAGTAAAAGGTTGGCATTTCCTGGCCAGAATTTTTAAAGAGTGATGTTAAAAACCACTGATATCTTTTTAAGTAAACTCAGTAATGTCCACACATGAAATACACATCTTACAGGACTCAAAGGAATTTAAAGCTGATTTATAGGGTTATCAGTAATTACTTAAATTATTTGACTGCTCAGGAAATGAGGAGCTTCTTCCTCAAACCACTAGCTGTTCTGTACTTACTTCTTCTGGAATTTCCCATTGTAGTTTCGTAGGAATAGGAATATTTTGATTGGTATCTCCTTTGCAATGCCCATCTTCTGAATAGCCCAGTTCAAGATACTCAGTTGCCATTGCATTCTGCAAAGAATGATACTTCTTCAGAATTGCAACACATTACATATTGCTGTGGAATTAGGATGTCATTGTGAAATCAGTATGACCCATTTTCAGTAGATAGTGAAATACAATATACAATCCATTTCCAAATACTGAAAACAGCTGCAAGTGAAGCCCTCTGATTTACCTCTTATTTTAAGGCATTTTTACTTGTGTTCTGAGTGGGAAGAATACCAGATATGCACAAATACCTATTCAATTACACTGGTGCATTTTGTTAGATGCTATTGAATTCATTAAAATGTTTCAATTAAAAACCCACCTCAAATTTACTAGTAATAAAAAAAAAAAAAGTCAGTCTTAGAGTCTTAGATTTCACAACCTTTGTTCAATTTAGATTATAGAGAATCTCTGCAAGTTTGTTATGTGTCAAAACTTGTTCATCATGAAACAGTTTATTTCAGAGTAAGTGCATATCCCTGCAAGAATTTAATCATTTTTAAGATTTGCATCCTACTCAAAATTGCAATTTATTCTATATGTTCACTAGAGCTCTTGGGTGGGGAAGTAGAATATTTCCGAGATGAACAATAGAACTTGAACAACAGACAAAAAAGGCTCTGTCTTACAAGATTTCAAACAATATCCTCAGTGTTAAAAAAAAAATTAAAAAAATACAGAACTATCAATAGATTTGAAACTGCTCAATATGGAAAGAGAAAGCTTGACAAAAATCTATTGCGTGTTCTACATATATATTTCTAATCTCTTCTTTTAATTTAATTTTCTCACTTAGTGGTCAGAACAATATATAATAAAATTAGGAAATTACTTGGGACACCAGTCAGACCTGAGACCCATTTTCACAAATACATAATGAAATCAGAATTAGCTACTGTTAATGAAATAGTTTTCAGTGATTGAGTCATGTAACTTTTTATGGGTTTAAGCTTCAAAAAGAAAAAGAAAAAAATCAAATAGGATTTAAAGTAATAAGCTAAGCTCATGCTGAATAAACCTGACAAAAAGTGCATTTATTCCATTCATTGCAAATAAATACAAGATATAATTTAAACAGCATCTCAATCTGCAGCTTATCAAACAATGGCTTAGAGGAAAAGTTAAACTCTGTACCGTTTCTTTAAATTTTGAAAGTAAGTGGGATTTTTATAGCACAAGAAAGCTTAAGTGCTTCAGGAGCATGTATACACGCAAAATACAATGCCATATCAAAGAGGCAACAATCTATTGATTTAGATTATAAACAAGTTAGATGGGGAACTGTATCACTTTTCTATGGAGACATCTATGTTCATTTAATTTAAAGGACAGCAACCTTTTCTTTTAAGCAAGGTTTGTTTTTTTGTTTTTTTTTTTTTCTTAATTCCACAGTTGCTATAAACACAGGCCTGTAATCACTCATCAGCAACATGAATGCAAGGGATTCATGCAAGGGTACCTGCTGATCTTCAGGACTGTTGCATGGACCATATCACATTATTTTCTGCATTAACTTTTTGTACTAAACACCTACCTCCCACAGGTGTCCAACAATAGGAGCATCTGCCCAAGAGTGCTCTGCATTCAGACCCGTTCTGCCATTTTTGAATATTATAAGAGTGAATGTTTTATCAAACCACCTACAAAAGAAATTAAGATTTCCTTATGGTTTTGTAGGTTTCAAAAGCATTTTTATACTGCAACTTCATCTCTCAAAAATTCACATTCAAATGCACTAGTTCTTAGGGGTTTGGGGTTTTTTAAATAAGTTTGTTTAAATAAATAGACATAAATTTGAACCTCATGAAGTTCAACAAGGCCAAGTGCAAGGTCCTACGCCTAGGTCAGGGCAATCCCCAGTATCAATAGACTGGGGGATGAAGGGATTGAGCAGCCCTGCAGAGAAGGACTTGGGGTACTGATGGATGAAAAATTGGACATGTGCCAGCAATGTGTGCTTGCAGCCCAGAAATCCAATCATATCCTGGGCTGCGTAAGCAGCAGTGTGGCCAGCAGGTCAAGAGGAGGTGATTCTCACCCTCTGCTCTGCTTTCATGAGACCCCGCCTGGAGTACTGCATCCAGCTCTGGGGTTCCCAGTACAAGACATGGACCTGTTAGAGTGGGTGCAGGGGAGGGCAGGAACACCTCTCCCAGGAAGAAAAGCTGAGTTGGGGTTGTTCAGTCTGGAGAAGAGAAGGCTTTGGGACACCTTGTGGCCTTTCAACATATAAAGAGGGCTTATAGGAAAGACTGAGAAAGACTTTTTACCAGGGCCCGTAGTGACAGGACAAGGGGCAACAGTTATAAACTGAAAGAGGGTAGGCTTAGATTCGTCATAAGTTTTTTTTTTATTATGATGAGGGTTGTGAGACGCTGGAACAGCTTGCCCAGAGAAGTTGTGGATGCCCCATCATTGGAAGTATTCAAGTCAGGTTGGACAGGGCTTTGAGCAATCTGGTGTAGTGAAAGGTGTCCCTGCCCATGGCAAGGGTGGTGGACTAGATAATCTTTGAAAGTCCCTTCCAACCCAAACCATTCTGTGATTCTATGAAATTTATCAGCTTGTAAGTCACTAAATCATATGTATTAGCCATGAGAATTAGTGAAATTCTAAAAAAGAGAAGGCGTTTTCCACAGAGTCAATACTGTACCTGTCATAACATCTGCCATGTATTAATGATTTTGCGTATGTATCCAGTGACCTCACTGGATCTTCTTTCCTGTACCCTTGCTCGATGTCATCCAATGTCACAAAAAATGCTGCTTTTTCAATAGCATCTAAGGACTGTTTGTTCTTTCCATGGCTAAAATAAGCCTGTCGAGCTTTAGCCCATGGTACTCTGCAAAAAGAATATGGTTTATAGCCAGATCACGTGAATGTGTCAATGTTTTATCACCCTTAAGATTACTATGAGACATTCCTCCTACTTTTATCAAATTTGAAGCAACTACTTTCATTGCATTTAAACTATATCAGCAGTGAAAAGTTCTGAAAAATACACGTACAGTGTAATCCTAGGAACCAATTCAACATATAAGCTTCACACATGTGTGAAGCTTAAACCTCAGAAATTCAGCATTTCTGCAGCATGTAATATGTATAGCTATCATCCACATTTATAACTGAACAACAGAAAATATCTATTATATGGAAGAAGAAAATAGTAATAATAATGAAAACAATCAACAGATTAATATCCATCGTTGTAATACCTAAATCTAAGAATCTGGACAATTGTCAATAAAAAGTTCCATGGTAAATGCCTGAAAAAGATCTGAAGTTAAAGAAGTCCTGAACAATGTAATTTCTGTATGATTGCACCATGTTTATTTATAAATTTATGTGGTTTTCCCAATGAAAAATTATTTCAGTTTGTTTTAAAGCAGAAAGTGAGAGAAAGGGAGGACTCCTAGTAAGAAAGTATATTAAGATCCACAGCTCTTTCTCTTCCTTGTCCAGAAACAACTAGACAGATTAAATTGTGACAAACTTAGTTCAATTTAATTCAATAATCTTGCACCTCGAGCCAACTGAGTATATACTGCTTCATTTTGTAGGTGCAAGTCATGAATATGGAGTAACAAGTTACTGAATTTACATTCTCAATCTTAATTTTTAAGATATTCTTTAAAATGCCAGCGAACCCCAGAGTAGATATAAAACTGATGCAGTTCAATATGTGTAATACCGTAAAGCTTCTAGTTACCACTCTTATGATAACCAAAATCAAATCAAACTTCTCCAGGTAAGTATAGGTAAGCTGCATACAGGGTTGCCACTGCAAAATTACTTTTAACTCCATGTAGTTACAAATAACTGAAGAGCTGTTACATGTTAGCAAGATACAAAATCAGTAATAAAGGTATAATCAACTGACTGCAGACTATTTTAAAATTCCAAAGCCAATATTCAATTAGTATACTATGCAACTATTTCTAAATATGAAAATTAATTTAAAAAATAACCACCATACCTATCTCCTGCAGTAAGAGCTGCTAGTTTCTCTTCACCAGCCTGAGGCTCTGAATCATCATCAAGAATTCTTTGCATCTGCTGTTCAATTTCTCGGGGTTTCAACAGTCTACCATCATGGTACAGCCACACTTTGAAGTAACGGCCCTTATGATACACAACAATGTGTTTACTGTCTTTCACATGCTGGAGAGTATCTAGAATTGGAAACACTTACGTGAAAACAAAGCTGAAGTCTCAAAACACTAATGGACTAAATAACATCAAATACCTACTGCATGCACTACCAGTTAGCAACAGCTTATTTATTTTAACAAAGTAATAAATAGTGTGGAATAAACTGCTCCATGTTATTTCATCACAAAGATTCCTGCATGAAATAGTCAAATACCCAGATTTGATAATCATTTGCATATATAGCTCCACCAGTTTCCACACTGGAGGCCAATATTAAGCAACTAAATCTGTATTTCTGTATCTGAAAAGTAAGCACTAGCAGCGTAGTCTGATTAAGCAGTCAGCAAAAGAACACACTAGAAGAGCCTGAGGAAAGGTACTTGATTTAAAAGTTGGGGTTTTTTTTTAAAAATCATCTGCATTCAAGTGCTAGACAACTCACGGTGCAATCTGTGGAGAATCTTAAGAGAGCCCAATTTTAGTACCATAAGCTTTTGTTCACATTTATCCTGGCAGATGCAGAGTGAACACTCCATCTATGGCCAAAAAGTGTAGTGTTATGGAAGTCAGTGAAGCAGAAACCTAGGCCACAAATTTTTCATCACTTTATTATTTACATGGCTTAATTGGGATAAGCCTGAATTTAGTCATGAAGGCATTGTATCAAACTACAGATGAAGGTTTCTACAGCAGCCAGGAAAAGCCCTCAATTGATGAAAACTGTTAACTGAATTCCTTCACTACCCCAAAGAACTGTTATATTCCTATGAATCTGAAAAGACCCATTACTGTGATGGTGAAGAAAGATGATGTCAAAAATGAGGGCTGAGCCTAAAAGTCATGATTCTGAGAGATCTGAGAAACATTGTACCAGGAAAGAGTTCTATACTTTGGGTGCTCTCAGCTATCCATAAAGTTTTGGTAGGTATGCTCCATCTACTGATCAGAAGCAGTTTTATGCTAATCATGCCTTTGGCTATCTACTTTGCATTTCTGCCAAAGATAGAATGCCTGTGATGAAAGTGCTAGGATTGGCAGAAGCATCACTCCAACTGTCAATTACATTAATACAATGGGTTGTGAATTGAGATGAAACCCCACAGAGGGGGAAAGAAGCAGCAAAGCAATCACCTAGTGAGTTAACTTCTTCTATAAGTTGGGACACCCCAAGTATTTGTCTCATGTACATGATGTGTCCCTACAAAAAAGACAACCTCTGGAGTGTAAAAAGCGAGATCATTAGTCATCTACATCAACAACTGACTTCACAACAGTTAAGCCCTGGCAATTACCTTTCAGACACCTTATTTATGGGCCTAAATACAGATTTATGCACCTGGAGTACAGATTTCTTGCAATACAAAAAAATCCTTTCCTTTTTCTTGCCAGTCCAAGAAGTCTTTTATGTACATCTGAAGATGCATGTAACATGCTACATGGATTTCCTATAAAAAAAAGTGGGAATGGAAAGACATAAAGGCTTCCCTGCTTAAAAGAAGTGGTTTACTCCATAGAGTGTTTTGTTAAAAGACATGAAGATTAAACAACTGCTGAAGCAACAGGATACAATGTTCATTAAGATTTTACCACCAATTAACATGAAGACATGCCACAGAATTTTTCCTTTTTTTTTTTAATATGCTGCTCCTTTAGGAACTGTAACATATATAAAATACAATTGAAATCAGAGGGCAAGAAATCAAGCTGCTCATGAAAAGCTGGGAAAAATGTCTTTATAACTCACTTATCCACATACAGAATGACAAAAGTTGTTTTTCCTTTGGAAAAATAGAAACAATGAAAAACTGAAAAAGTAAAATAGGAAACGTGAAGTACTTAGGATGAAAATAAGGTAATTTTTGTGATGCTGACTGTACTTTAATTTGAAAGACTTTAAGCAGGAGAAACTGAAGAGAACCATTAAGATATTTATTTTAATCATTGATCATTTTAATACATTAAGGAAATATTTTAATCAGGTGTTATGGTTAGAATGGGCTACTTCTACATTTTTCTGCAAAACTCATTTCAGACTAAGAGAACACAAAATTCAAAGTTAAATGCAAACAGTTCATACCTTTCATTTTATTGAGGACCGGGAAGAGGCAAGGGTAGCACTTTCCATACTTGAAGTATTCTAAATAACAATGGCTCATACACTACAGTTGTCTAATAGAGATTTTTAAACTTGCTAGTCTACTTAAGCTACTAGTTCATGATCGAAGTAGTCATTGCATCAAGGATATGTTTTTCTCCATTTTGCAGATAAAGGAAGCTGAGGCATAGCTGGGAAATAATTCCTCAATATCTACTAAAGGCCAGCAGCAGAACTGAGAGTAAAATCCTTATCTGACACATGCACCTACTGCTTTATCCACTAGCCAATGCCACTTTCCCCCCTTATCCAACTTCATACAGTACAGCAAATGTCAGACCTCCAGCAGGGAAGAGCGGGCACATTCCTGTGTCTGTTTAGAAACTCTTTATGTTTTTTATTCTGTAGTCGAGTGGGACTAACATGCTCAAATGCAGCTTGAAACATAAGAATGAGTTACAGATCTCAAAAGAAAGTTAAAAAATATATCCTATCTTCAAGTGACAGCCCATTCCCAATGGAGGTGACTAACCAATAACCCCTTGCATTCCAAATTCCTAGTGATTGTCCTCTGCACTAATCATAACTAATCAGGATAACTCTGCCAAATGCTGTATTTCATCATGATGCTGCCACAATGACGCAGTGTTGGATAAACATGTGAACTCAGTTCTAAGAGGCTCTTCAGCATATAACCAGATCAGAGAAACCTAGATATAGCTTAAGCTTTTGTAGAAAGCACAACAACAGAAGTCCACTCAAATCTGCTGTGAAATTTTTAGTTTGCTTCTCAAAGAAGAAGAAAATGGATAGCAACGTTTTCTTCCACCTGTTGACTACAAGCGTTAGTATTTCTAGATGCAATCTGCCTCCTTTTACGTGACAAAACTCAGGAAAAAAAAACCAACAACAAAAAAGCCACTTTAATATTAAGATCATAAAAACCAGCTCGAGCCTGGAAAATTTAGGATAAGCTGATGGAGATCTTTGGAGGCTTCTTTGGGGAGAAACCCATGATGAACTTTTAGGGATACATTACCATTAGAAAAATAACACCATATGCAGAAGAATCAGCCTCAAGAGCTTGGATGATGTATTGACCATCAAAAAAATATTGTATTTTTATGTTGAGATACAACAACAAACAATTTATCAAAGGCTTGCCAATGACTAAAGTGAAATGCTTTTATGTCTATAGGCAGTGTTAATGAATGCATGCAATGACACCATATGTACACCTACAGTGAGAGAGTGTATATGAACCGTCACTTACAGATACTTTTTTTTTTCCTGACTGAGCTAACATGATTGCTTGTGATCACGTAAACATATCCTTAGTCTCCCACAATAAGCAGAAGTTGCAGGAACAGACTCAGGTGAAAATGACCCTGCTGTAAGTCAACAGGTACACTCCTCTATTCAACATTAAAATGTGAAAACTTAGTTACTCATAGCTTAGGATAATCAGCCAATTGCTGGGAGTTAGGGCAGGGCGGGAACTAACAAAACTCAGAGTATAAATTTTCTTAATCTGTTACATAGAAAGTTTGGACACAGTCCTTATTACAGGTGATTTCACTTAGCTGATGTCTTACAGTACATACAAAAAGTCAAGGTTACAGTGGCATTGAAAACCTGGACAGGACTAAGACTGTACCTGCCTCTAAACCAGGTAAACAACTAGTGTTGAACATATGTTCATATTGAGAAGAACAGGTTGGGATGCTGTTGTGAATCATAAGCTGAAAGGAAAAAGGGAAAGTCAAGCAAGCAAAAGATTTTAAAATGGTTGAGATAAGAGAACACAACTTTTATAAAGATAAAAACATGGATATCAAAGGATCCTGAAAGAGTAGAATGGAGAAAAGTAAAGGTTATTTATAAATCAAAAACACAGGGCAGACAACAGTTTCTTGAAGTTAGTTTTTAATTTAAGTAAAGGAAGAGACAAAAAACACTGAAGAACTTTCAAAATCACCCTAAAAGGAAAAACCATCTATGCACTCTATAGCAATTCATTACTTCCTGAGTATCGGAACACAGTATTGGTGTGTACTTGTGTCTGTCAGATCCTTATCTGGAAAAACAGGATTTTAGCAGAAAATATTCCAAAAACTGAATTCCATTAAGATGTTTATTCCCCTCGGCTGGCCCTGCTTACCTGATTCCTCTCCTGGGATACGGGAGGTATTAAACATCCGTTCCCACTGAGCTGAGCAGAGTGGAACAGTAGATCCCATCAGAAGAATCTGTGCCGCAAATGTACATTAAAATGTAATTTTGCATATACAATTAGCAAATTAAAAAGGAAAGAAAAAACAGGATCTCGTTAAAGACAGGCTGAAGAACAGTAAGATTTATAATACATCAACGCAGGTTTGGTTCCCCCCCCGCCCCGTTCATTGTCTTTCCTTGAACTACACATTGAAGATTCCACTGACATTCCAGTAGCTGTATTTTTCCCACCCCCCTACCAAAAGCTCACCCTTCAGGAGGGATGACTGAAGCTAGCTAGCATCTGAAATCCAAAGAGCTCTCAATGGCCAGTCTGGGTGCAAAACTTAAACATGCAGCATGCATTATCCCTTAATTTCTTCTTTTAAAGCTATTGCTGGCTGTGTAGGAACAGAAGTTCACGCTTCTCGGATTTGTAGTTACATACAACTAATCACATCCCTGCCATGACCTTCAGCAAAACTACTTAATTGTTTCTACAACATTTGTTTGCTACAACACACAACCACTGGACAGAACAGAAATTCAGAATGAGATTCACCTTGCCTATCCTTGCCACCTAGAAATTAGTGCAACACAGAATATTATCATCATCTATACTTACACTGCCACTGGCCCACTCTTGGCCTCAAGGTCCAGTCCTTTGTCCCAACCACCTCCCTGGGCTCACACTATATGATACCACAGACTTTTCAGACTTCAGTGGCTCAGAAGTACAATTACATGCTTAGCACATACCAGTAAGTATTCCGTATAACATCTGTTAACATATGCAAGTACAAGCCTCTATTTGTCTTTTGGGCAAATACATACATTAATTTCAAATACTGCAATTAGTTGGCATGACAGAATCCTGTATTTGTGATAGTTGGTAGTTTCTGCCCATGTGCAATTCAAATGATAAGCAAGATGTCTGGGAGCACAAATGTAGTTACGTCTTACATGTAGTTCTGACAATAAGAAATTCCTCTCCTGTCCCATTCTGAAAACCGATTGACTTCTTACAGACTATGCTGGAAAAAGATCAAAAGCCATTTAAACTGGTATACATACTGGCTTGATTTCTTGTCTATCCAGTTTTTTCCGATAGAGCAGGATGGCATGGATAACATTACCAGCTCTAGCTGCCTGCAGGGTTGTGGGAGATAAATAAAGGAAGTCCTGTAAAGTACATAAGAATCATAAGTTAATGATTACCAGACTAGATTTAAAAAAAAATACTGATAGTACTTCTCATTCACATTCTTAAAGTTTATTCTGGTCAATATAGAAAAGTCTTTAAAACATATGAAGTGCACTAGTGCAGTGAGTTGATGACTTAAATTTCTTCAACAGTCACAATCTCCTTAAACAGCATCAGTCCTAAAACATACATGATAGCTCTTAATCATCCCAGTAGAAAAGACAATGCTACTTAAAACTTGAATCCAAGACTAGAATATTTCCTCTTCTTGCTTTTAATTTTAGGGTCTTTTACAGTTTTACTTCCCATACAGACATTTGCGAATATAAGCACACACCTTGTTGAACTGTGCTACCCATGAAGTTTTACATGGAGCTTTTGAAAGATTGCTTGTTGCAGTAAGCACAAAACTGTGTAAGTAATTACTGCATGAGTTTGCCTAAGTGGCAGATGTGCTAAGTTTATTATTAAGATAGCACTGTACTTGAAGACATTGGCTGTAGGTTATACTAGAAGAAAGAAAAACAAAGGTCACATACTCACAGTGGCAATGGATTTCTAAACAGAAAGATATAACGAAATAAGATACCTGGCAGAAATTTTACAGTGCTTGTTTGACACGTAAGTTTTTTTATAGTATTTACCTACCATTGCAAAATAGTTACTATTAACCATAATTGGTCCACGTCCTCTAAGGTAGATATATTCTTCCCACCAATCACTAACCTGTAGCAGGAAAGAAAACAAAAGCAGTAAAATCTCAATTTCCACAGTTTGTGCCTTCTGTGTTAGTGACTCCACAACACAACATTCCATACAGAAGCAGGAAGAAAACTGCTAGCTTGCCCCCCTACTTAAAAAAGGCAAACAAAAACACCCTAATGTGTTAAACTTCAGGGAAAACAGCAAAAAAGGGGCAAGAAATTTAAATTAAATTCAGCTGTAGCTCTCTGATAAGCTTCTGAAGAAGTCATCACCTTCAGATAATATTTAAAATGTATCAGATCTCCTGAATGTTTTGCAGCCTTTGCCAGGACACTGTAGCTTAGGCTACTGGGTACAGCTAGATGTTACATAATATATCAGGAAGGAATTATATTACAGTTCTCACCATGATGTTGGGGTTTGGGTTTTCTTTTTGGTAAAAGAAAAAAACAAAACAAAAAAAAACCCAACCCGAAACAAACTTATTGTTGCAATTCTTTATTTCTCTTCCATATCCTTTAGCTGCTCTATATAGAAAAGTTGTCCTAAATCACTCTTCTAAACTACATGGCTAGCCAGGCCCATTGTTGAGTTATCAAGCTTAACAAGCAAATAAACAGACCTCAAAAGCAATCATAAGAGCAAAAGCTAAATCACCTGCTCCAAAGTAACAAACACAAAATGAGGATTCATTCTTTCAAGTTCCATTCACCACACTGTTTACCAAATCACACAAATTATTCCTGTGCAAATCAGGTGGTCTCCAATGCACTTTACAAAAATATTAGGCAGTTTCAATTGTCTTCTTTCACATTTAAGAAAGAATGAAAGTTAAGCCAAAAAAGGCAACAGGGAACAAATTAAGTTATGTCATTTGAACAATTGAGCCTCCTATTTATCTACTCACATAGTTTGTGGCCCACCAGGATTTTAGCTTCAAATACCACTGAAGCCTTGGTCCCAAATTAAATGCAAAATCTTTGGCAAGACCCTCCATTCTTCTGAACTCTTCATCATCCATAAGTGGCTGAACTGATTCCAGATACTAGAATACAGCACAAGAATCAGCATCAGAATAGTAACTAATACGTAGCTTCTCGCCATTCCTACACAAAGCATTTGAACAGTAGACAAAGATTATCCAGACTCAATTCATAAGGTTATAAATACTATGTTGTTAAAATAAGAATATACACTCTTCTAAACATCTGCCTGCAAACTACAAAAATGAGGTCTTTTGCCAGACATTTGTCAGCAAATCACAAGTGGAAGAGGTTACTTTTCTAAAGATACATTTTCCACTCAAAAGGGGAAGATATACTGCTTCTTCAGTATCAGGCAGAAATATTTTTTTTGTCTCTAAAAATTAAACCTTCTGTTTCTGTGACATACTACATACATCTTACTTACACTCTTTGCTATAAGGTTTTGAGTCATAAAACACATTTATACATTCAAGCTGTGGAAGATAACAAAACTGGTATGTTTCAAAAGCCCTGGAAATCACACTTTGTTGCATAGTCTTACATCAACAGACATCACATCATCCAATATGAATTACACCAGCTTTAAACTGTCACCAGTTTCAGTTTGTCACAGCCTTTATTTTAATTTCTATGCAGAAGTTTTAATCCATTACACCATATTAATACCACCATGCAATACTTTTATAAGACATGGCAAAAAAAACCCACAAGGGCATCTAACTATGGATTCAATGTTACTGAAGAAAATGAATTAATGAATGTACACACCCTATTGACTGTGTCTTTAACAGCTGGAACTGGCAATCGTGGTAAAGATGTCTGGAAACTGTATAACATGGGTTTACGTCCTGAGAAGAGTTTTACAAGTGCCTGAAGAAAAGAAAAAAAACAAACAAAATACACACGTCGAATTATTAGGTTCAACAAAAGAAAAATGACAGAGTAATAAAGTGTAATGTAACTCATAGTTCTTTTCACTGGTAAATTATACTGTACTAAATGTAGCAAACTATCATATTTATCATTGTTTCACAAATCAAAAAGGCACTGACATAAACTAACTTCCTAAAGGTTAAACAACATGTCAGTGGAAGATAAAGACAGTCATAGTCATTCCTGACTTCCCAGACAATCTTCTGGTCATTAGGCAATATTGTTGTTTATGAATGGCACACCTTGATCTCAACAGAAAATAAAGACAGAGTTTCTTAGCACTTCTTTTCTTCATACATTTCCCTCTGTAAAGATTAAAAAAGCAAGTCTACCGGTTGATCTCTTACTATATAGTAGATACTACAAAAACATCTATATTGTGCTTCAAAACGGGAATCATTATCAAGCCCGTCACTCAGCTAAGGATCCTAGATAACTATAGCCACCTTTAAAAATAATAATTACGCTTTGGAATCATGGTTTAATATTTTGCAAAGTTATAGCTCAACATTGATAATAGTACTGATGTTACAGGGAGTTTCTTCAAGCGTGAGTCTATCTCAGGTAGTCTACTGCACGATTTGAACATACCAAATTGTGTAAGCATGCCAGTGTTATACTTGGTGCTTGTGTTACAAAAAACCCAACGAAACAAAAAAGCCAGGGATGACAGTTCCCATCTTAGCTTCAGGTATTACAGCATCTCCTGTTTTCCATGGGAGACTGAAGACAGAAGCAGCATTTCGGTCTACAACTACTTCTCAGCTGTGACACACACTAGGCTCAAAGTCTAGGCCATGCAACTTCTAGGCTACCCATGAAAGGATTTTGACATTATCACCCTATTTCAGCATGAAAGTAAGGTCAATTATTACACCAACAATCCAGTGGAATCTTTATTGTAAAAGTCCAATCCTGGTCTGCTATACTATACCATGTATTGTATATAGGCCAATAGACTAAAGACGGAAGAAAACAGAGGATGTCATTTCACTACTAAGTTCCTATAACTTCTCCCTTCTATCCCACCCCAACTGACAAAACTACTTGTTAAAATGTAGTTCCCCCCCTCTCAATTTCCTTGGTTAGCACAGCTAGAGGAGGTTGTTTTAGGCAGCACAAGACTATTAAGAATTGCAGAGTATTACCACAAAAGACCTCCCTGCAAATGGATCTGTATCAGAGTTGTCAGATATACATGGATGCATCACAGTGATCAGCCCAATGAAATCTAGTTGTGCTTCATAACAAGATAAATTTGAAGCCAGGTGAGGAAAAAAAAACGCTCAGCTTTTCGTAAGAAAATCTAATTCCACACTTGAAGACAATTGTATTCCAGAACTCTTAAACCAGGAAAGGCTGAATTTATCTTCAGAGAGTACCTGCTCAACTGACAAAAAAGAGCAAACACATTTCACAGTATTCACCTCTTAAGTAAACTTGTAGTAGAGAATTTATAAGAGTTTGAGACCATTAAAGAGATCTGACAGACATGCATATTTAATTACATCTCTAATTTCATATGCAGACACAGCAAATAATCTCATTCTAGCATGCGTTGCATCTGTTCACAGATTATTATTATTTTTTAACTTATTTTTTAAAACTGCAACTAATACTTGGATTTTTCCCCTAATCCTGGTACAGGAAATTTGACTTTAGAAGATGAAATATGTGCAATAAAAGTGCCACCAGTCTTCCAACCAGCCTGAAAATCACTTTGTACTGTGACTGAAATCAGAGCTCAGGTTTTTGATCTGCACGACTATCTGAACAGAAGACAGTATATTCACGATAGTATTTTTCATGCTGTTAATCAGCATGAAAAACTGCTAAGAAAAAAACCCAAACTAACACATGTAATATTACACAATATTAAAGGATAATAAAAATCTAGAAAACTACGGTAGTTGGTACTGTTATACTAGGGAAAACAGTCTTCTCTTTTGTTGGGACTAGCTAAAGAAAGAATAAGGTATTAAAGTAGAGCTTCATATTAAGTATAGATGAGATACTGTTGGGCATACACCTTTATAGTGTTCTATATTTTAAAACGTGTAATACACAACAAAATACATATGCAACATATATAATAGACAAAAATTTATAAATACAATACACAAAGCATGGTAAGTAGCATTACAGTTCATACTGTTTAAGGTTGATAAGGCAATATTAACAACTTTAAAATATCTATCTGGTAGGACATGCTGAACACCCAGACAGCTACAGCTTCAAGCAATTGACAGAAAGCCTTACCATTCAGAGCCTGTACTGTACAAATTCGAGTCATGAGGCTCCTGATACTGCTTCCAGGAGAAACTATCAATTAGAAATTTCATTTGTAACAGATGAACATTAAATTCTATTTTAGTGTACCATTCTGGATACCTGTTCTTGAACACATTTCATAATAAATCATGACATGTTGTTAGTCTAACACACATCAGTTAATTTTTGAGGCTGCCGAGACTAATTTTATCATAGTAGGGCACTTAAGTTATTTCTATAACAATACTGGTGAAAGTGAGTTGAAACAACTGAGTCCAAGTAACAAAAACCCACTTCATCTCTTGGAGCACCTATATGTACATTTCCTCACTTTATACCTATCATATCCTTTAAGGATCCTTTTCCAAAGCACCACAATAATCAACAGGAGCCAGATCAGTCTCATCTTATCCTTATGTGAAAACAAGCTACCTACCTTACACTTTTTCTCCAACCCATTTTGGAGGCATACCACTAAATCAACTGAAAGGACATTCAATATTATTTTCTTCAAGCATAAGATTAATTTTAGAATGGATGACTAGGAATCCTAACATTTCAACAACGAATTAGGGTAGCACTTTCTGGGGAGGACAAGATTCTTTGGTGCTGCAGCCCAAGTTCTTTAAGGTGTACTTTGCACATAGAGAAAAAGTAGGTATTTGAGTCACACAGTCCCAAGGTGTTGGCAAATTTAGAAGTTATTCTTGAAGTGTTTACTCTTCCTTCTACAAGGCCATCCTGAATAGTTTAATTATAGCATCAGAAGGATGACAGTAATTAGTAGAAACATCTACCTAACAGCCTCCTGTCCCATGACACAATAAAAACAAGCAAGGAAAAACCTACAAAATTTTCTCTTTTAGCGCTTTGAATACAGATCAGATAGAGGTTAAGATGAAACAGGAAGCCAATATATCCTTACCATCCAAAACTTGGTGCCTGCAGAAAGTTTGCCATGTTCAGCGAACATCCAACCATGATAGGAAAGCAGCATTTTTAGAGAGTAGCGCATTGTGACAATAAGGGCAACCCAAAGCCCTGTGCCGAAAAGGATTCCACTCACGATGTTCTGTGTTTGGTTTGACATATAGCCACTATTTAAAACAAAAGCCAGCATATGCCAGTTAATGTCACTTTAAGTTCTAAAGAGAACCTAATACTGCAAACCTAAGCCTAATGGTACTACAGGCAGGCATTACACAAGCTTCATGCCTGTTTAGCCCTTTTTCATAAACTCCTCTCCAAAAACCCTCTCATGCAACAAGATCAAAGGCCACAGAAGTTGCCAAATGTGCTTCTCAAATACTCAGAAAACAATGTAGTAATACTGGTATAACAACCTACCTATTTCATACCCTCATACATCTGCTTATTTGGCTTACTCTGTCTCAAACATACTGTTCAAAACCTGAAACATTTTAACAGGATTAGCTTTAAGAGTAGCTACAAATAAAACTGATTTCTTTTAGAGTAACAGGAACTTTTCAGTCTACTTACGTTGTATCAAGTGTTCGGTTGATTTTAGCTATTATTCCTAAAGAAGGATCAATTTTGGCATACATTGTTGACATCACACCCACAACTACAATAAGCCAGCTAGATGGGCTAGCAGGATAAACGCCAGTGATAATTCCATTCTGGAAAGAAAAGCCTTCACATAATTTTTTCATACCAAAGTGGTTGACTTCATATTACCATGGAAAGAAACAAAAATCAACACATTTAAGTCATTTAGTTTTAAACAAGAAGTTAAGATTATACAACATTTTCTTACATATGCTTAACTCAGGAGGCGGGAATGGATTTAGTTAAGTTTTGCTGCTACAGAAAATTGTTACAACGATATCAAGAATTAAAGGAACTTTTAAGTTCTTTTGTAGACAACACTGATCCTGCTGTAAGTCTTACTAAAAATACTGAAATTACTGAACAACTTTGGAACAAATGACACTTAAATAATTCCCACTTACACTGAGTTATGCCTCTCTAAATGAATACATGGCAAAAATATTCTATTGAACAAGACACTGAAAACTGCCATCAGGTTTTTCTTGTATCATTTAAACAGTGCTTTATATAGCTTTATAAGAAGATTTTATTAAGACTACTGTTAAAAATATGTTTTTGAAAGAGATGTTGAAGATAGCTTATCTAGTTTGCTACTAATCAAATAGATACTTACCATTTATGATCCCATGAACAAAACAATCTATATAAATACCTCATCAGAAACATTACTACTTAGCATAACTTGTACAAGATAGATGTTCAGGTAATTTTTTTGAAAACAGCAAACATTCTCCTTAATTTGAAAATTTAATTCTGGCAAAGAATACATAAAATCAAGAGTATAGTCTTGTACCTCTAAGTGATATGACACTAAAAATCACAACTAGTTATATTTCTGACTTACACTAAAAGATTACATAATTACATGATGTATTATGAAAAGAACGAAGTAAATTAAAGCTATTGTTAATTTCTACATCTATTTCATCTTGCTTCCATAGAATAAATCAAAAAGATATACCCTTTCAGTCTTTACAGCATCACCCAGTGCTACCTTCCTTAGCATCCCTTGTCTTAACTAAAACCCACACAAGTCTTTCACGATAAGGAACTTTATTTGCCATAAAGGCAAAAAAATTTAGTTTTGCCTAAACAAAACTTAAATAAATCTATAAAACATTAAATAACCCTCAAGTTTGGTGCACTTGACTAATATAAAATACCTTGAATCTGATGAACTTTTTCTTCCATGAATGGACACCAGATAGGTAAATTTGTTTGAGTGCCTCATGGCTCATTCGCAGGTCAATCCCATCTGGAGTTACTGTAAATTGAAAAGCTACTGCTTGATGAGCTTCTGCCATTTTCAGAGAGAGTTCTGTCAAAACACAAAGTTAAAAAAATTATTTCCTTTTTGTTCAAAGGAACTAGGAGCTAGTCCATTTCTAGCAAGATATTTTCTACACAGTAATTTTGGGAAATATTTCAAAGTATGCAAAATTTACATACAGTACTTGCCTCTTCCTTACAGGCTATGCTTGCACTTCAGTTTGAGCGTCCAGTATGTTAATTAAGATACCTCTTCTAACCACAACAGCTGAAAATGGATGCAAAACATTCATGTAACTTAGGCCTTTTGGCAGGATTGCAGCAAGCTGAATATCGTGCATACATGCAATATACAAAAATTCAGAGCAGAGCAGAAAATTAAAGCCATAATATTTAGAAGAAGCATATCACAGGTACATAGCATCTCACTCTATAATAATAAAGGAGATTCAGAATTTTTTTTTTTATCATTTTGAAACAAAAGGTATTTAAAGTCTTCACCTCAGCTAGCAAAACAAAGCTGCTTCTGGCCATATCTTCCTCTGAATTTTTTTTCATATCTTAATTTCAAGCTGATTAGTCACAGCAGTAAGATACTTCTGTGGCTCTGAGTTCTGACTGGCAAATAAGTGCAAAATCAAAACTATGCAGAGTTGAGGAAACCAAATCACAACTGTCAGAAAAATGACCTTCACATAAACAAATCTGAAATTAAGAGGAAATCTAATTGAATGCAGCTCAGTTTAACTACTCAAACAAATATCACCAACTGTCCCAATATAGACAAAAGACCATCATAATGGGCAGGCATAACAGGCTCAAATAAAAACCGCTTGTTTAAAAGTGTTTTTAGTTTAAAGTTAAAAGAGAAATGTAACTGTGATTCTGTTTACATATTTATGTCTCAACTCTATCTGAGGATAAAGCCAATTTGAATTGAACTGTATGCTCTTATTTACCAGCTCATCTTCATAGCTCCTTTCTTTCCCTAACCAGCTTTTCTCCATAAATATCCTGGAAGTTATCCCTACTCAACATTAATTCAGAGTAATGTTGTTTAAGCACTTACAATCAGAACACAGATTTTTGCAGACAGGCTCTATGTATAACATTGAAATGGTCCAAACTACATATTCCTGAGGAGACCATTGTGATTCCAAAGTCTTTTGTCCACATTCATTTATTAGCTTACCAAAACTTCTGTGCATAATCCTAAAAACAACATCCTCTTAGAAGTATGGCAAAAAGGTAGAGGAATCCATAATCCCATCCGTAGGTCAGGATTCAAGGGCAAGTTTTAATTTCACATTTTTACTGGTACAAAACATGACATTATCAATACCAAGTGTTTTAAGGTGGCACTGGCATTTCTATTTAAGCAAAATCAAAAGAAAGTACAACTACTTCATGCCTTTTGAATCCTAAAGGCTGAAATTTATATTTACTTTGCAAACCTGAAGCTTAGACTTTGTAATTAAACTTAAATTCTGGTAGACATTCATCCCCTGTTGATCAGCGTAACAGCATGTGAGGGCTAACCAGTGTAGTTTAGCTGGGCACTTCAAAAGCAGTTTATTATGACTGTGGTGCTGCTCCTCTAGTCTGTAAATATTCTACTATGTCAAAGTCATCTGGAGCACAAAGAAGGGGTGCAAAGGTGTATGACTAGACAACTAGGGAATGTAAGCACTGGGAATGCTGCAGTAATAGTAGGCTTAGGAAATAAATACACAATATAGGAAAAGAAGGAGCATTAAGCAGAGATGAACAAGATAAGTGCTGTTGTACACCATCTAGTAAGGTTGCTAACCTTAGTAGTAGTGACTGTTTGCAGTATTTAAAGTGCCTATCCCTAGACCAGCCTGCAATGATCAACCTCTGCAATACAACTATTCCTACAGTGGCTTTCACAGATCTCCCAAATCCATCAGCCACTGCTTAAGTTTCAGAGGCTGAGTCCTGGGTGAATCAGGCTTCTGGGTTTCCAGAAGGGTAGCTGAAGCTCACATTGTCATACAGATAGTATGCAATTTGATCTATGCATGTACAGTGTCTGATTAGGACAACAAAGAAACCAAATCAGCTTTGAACTCCAGTTTCAAAACCTTTAAGACAAGCCCTGTATGCCCTAGTAACAACTGCAATTTGTAGTACTTAATGACTCCATCACTAACAACTGCTTATTCATAGAGGCCTTGCTGTAGACAAGTATCAGGAAGTCAAAGTCAACTGTCCCTTTAAATTGTGCATCACCAGGTTGACATTGAGACCAAAACTGCAAGAAAGCAATAAAACAGAGACAGGCAGCAGTAATACATGGTATACCCTGGACTCAACAGGGTTTGCAAAAGGGGAAAGCACTCAAAGTTAAGAATTCATCATATGTTTAGCAGTACTGTTAGGAGTGGGATAAAAAAAAAAAAAACAAACAAACATCACAACTATATCCCCATACGGAGAACCAGGTACCTGGATTTGTTTCAAGAAGGGCTAAGAGGTTCTCCAGTTCACTCATGCAATTTTGTATTCTGGAATACCAATGTCTTAAGTACCAGATCAACTAGTTTCTATTACCCTTCAACTCCCCTGTGACTTAGCCTGGGAATTTGTAACTATCCTCCTCTCTGTTTCTGAAGAGAAAGAATTTCAGGAACCTATCCCTTTTTAGGCACATGTATTTCTACTGTCCAAGGCAGAAAAAGGTTATAAATAGTATTAATCATAAACAGTCAACCCGATATTTTAATGAATTAAAACTTAGCACGATCATAAAATTAAATAAGCTTCAATAAGGAATACATTCCTTATTCCGAAATGAAGAAATATTAATTCAGCAAGAATTAATACTGGACCAAGTAAACAAGCCCTGAAAACAAAGACAAGTCTAGTTCTAGGACTGTATTACTTGACCCTAAGATGTGAAACAATCAAATAGCTTGTTTCTTTTCATATCCTTTTCCTTTACTTAAGAAAACTGTAAGCCTTTAAGACTGTTCTGAATTATGATGGCTGAACACCAAAGACTTCCTGAAGTCCCTTTCTTTGAACACTGATTTTCCTCCTTAAAGGCCAATTTAATCATAAGCTGCTGTACACTTCCCCCCCTTTGCATTCCTCTGCTGTCACGTGCTTGCTAGAAAAGTAGGTAAAAGGGCACAGGAGCTTGCGTTAGACTTATAAACTTGACTTGCCAATGTTAGTAAGGCAGCACCCACATCAATCAGCTAACTAACACTGAAACAATAACTTCTTCTAACTCCAGGCATTTTGGTCAGCAAAATATTTCTGTACAGCATATACTAATTAACCTCATTCCCAACAGAGAGCCATAAACAACAGCTTTTGACTTGCTTAGCAGTTTGGCCAAGTCTTACTTAAAGGGGAAAAAAAGAGCACAATAATTTCTAAAAGTAACCTGAAATGGCCGTTTTCATTCCTTTCAGTGTTCTCTCATAATATTAATATATCTTAAAAAGCACACTTGCCCCTTAAAACCCCCCCCCCCCCTTTCTTTTAATTAAAGAAGAAAGCTGCCTGTTCCTTGCTCTTTTCTGGTTTTACTTCAATTCAAACATGCTATAACAGCTGCAGATGTTTCTCCTCTTCCCTTCTCATACCTCTGCTTGAGCCAAAACTTATCACTTTTTTTTCCATTGTTATCACCAAGTACTGCTAGGTTGGATGTCACTTTTAAGTCAAGAAAACACATAGCACACTAGAAGGCCTAAGCCCTGATAGACCTGATGGTCTGAAAAACTATGCTGCTACGCCTACTATGCATAAAGCCTCCTCAGACTTATTTTTGCAGTTTCAGGATATTTGCACTACAAAGACATAGGTTTAACTTACAGACTGCTCACAGACCTTATGATTTCAGGTTACAGACACTGAACAGTCAACTCTGTATTAGGGCTTACATGTTCCTACAGCCACAGAAGGAGATGAGGGCCTCAGCTCTAGAAAATCTGAACCTAAAAGAGATCCCATGTGCAGGATGCTTCCATTTAGTCAGGCATGCAAGAAGTCACTTGTGGTTGGTAATGTCTCTCTGAAGCACATAACACAGAGCACAATGTCTAAAAGACAGTGAAAGAATTACCATGTGCACCTTAAAAAGCATCAAGCCACAATACAAAAGTTAAATGTATTACAGTGCATTGCACAAAACAAAGTATTAATTCCTGAAGTAGTTACTTTTGGAAATGCTATTGAGTATGAACCTTTCTATGTTTCTGTAGATTTCATAAGCTTTATATGGATAAAATGATAGTGCTAAAAAAAGTAAAGTCACCACCTCTACCTCACAAAAAGCAACTCCTCTGCTTTAAGGGAATATCCACGTCAACTCATCTCTGAACTCAGCCACTTGCTTCCCATACGTACATTGCTTGGCTCATGCAATCCATTTTTTTCCCCCATTTCCTATTCCTCTTGGAGTAGAGAAAACCCTGCCATTTCTCCTTGGCAGGAGTCCAAACATCCACTGGAAAGAGATGTGTTACTTAAATGTAGTTTTCACATCTATAGCTCCTTTTCCTGCAAAGGAAGCAAGTTAACAAATGCAAAGGAAAACTGGAGTGAAGTCTTATTCACATGACCCAGAATAGCTAAAACCTTGGTGAAAAACTTAATTCTATGACTCTCATTTGCAAGCTGCCTCAACAATTTAGTTTGAGGTTCTCCTCACAGATTTTTGACATCTATTTATAGATTAGCTTTTATATACAGGGCATACACCTGTCGGTAACCAAACTAAGCTCACAAAACAATTCTACTTTGACGATCAAAGGTTGACAGTTTTCTTGGAAAAGCAGTGACTGCCGCATACAGTTTCTCCGAGAACGCTGCTAAGTACCACCCCACACAGGCTTCATACTATTAGAACCCTCAAATTGACACCTTTGGTACCCAAACCACAGGCTGTTCATAGATGGTGGGTAGACTTGCAGCATTACATGTCCCTGTGCTAAGAGCTAGAACATGCTGCATCTTGAAGCATGATGGCAGTTCTGAATTCAGAAGCACCTGGAAGCCCTCATAACTTCATGCAGATGCAAGGTACCACCAATAAAGCAATGAGAAGCATCTTATCACATAGGTAGTGTCTTCTGACTTCTGCCAAGTTCCTACTAGCAAGCTTAAAAGTAAAAAAACCAAACCAACAAAAACCACCAAACAAAAAACCAAAAAACAGAAACCTGACCTTGAAGAATTCTTCAGTCCTTTCTTAAAATAAACTTACAATTTCAAAATCTAGCTTAGCGCTCAGGTTTCACATAGGAATAGAGACTGGTGAGGAGAAAAGAGTGTTACTAAATCACTTACAATTACATTGTTTAAGGAAGTTTTCAAGATGGGAAGTGGAGAGAGATATCAGTTGAAAGTACATTAAACCCAAGTTTAGTTAGGAAACATACTTTGAACTATATTAAGATTTCCATTTAAAGCTAGACACCTTGAACTCAGAAGGTCTTGGGAAACAAGCAAGTACCCCAATGTCTTTGTCCTCAAAACAGTTTATTTCAAAGGGAAAAGGGGGAAAGATTCCATTTCTATCAACATACAAAGCAGTAAGAGTTACTGTTTGAATGTTACAAGCAGCCATACAGAACAGGAAAAAAATTCTGGAGCTCTCACAAGTTCTCTTAGAAGACTTCAACTCTGAAACTTGCGAAAACATTGAAGAAGTTTTATCCAGTATTTTATTGTCCACACATTAGATCTCCCTTCAGGAGATGAGCTTGCTACAGCTTTTGGAAGAAAACCGACATCCAAAAAGTTTCATTTGTATGTTCATTTGTTAACATATTTTGACACTTTAGGATAGATCACTGAATTCCAAGAGTCTGAGGACAGACTTAATGAAATCAGAGCCAGTATTAAAACACTAGAACACCTGTGCTGTGTTTGTGCTGAGACAGTGATCAAGTATTTTCTCTCACCTGTTTAAGCTATTACTATAGAAATTTGCATTCTACTCTCCTAGAAAGCCATTTGAATGCATTTTGTTTTATACAAACCAATGAATAATTGTTTATGCTCAAATCCATTGATTTCATACCAGATACTAGACTAAAAGCAAGAGAATTCCAAACACTGAGATGTCCATCCTAGTCTCTTCGTGCATTATTCCAAATTTCTCTTCAGACTTCTGTTATTGATGCTCCTGTCAGTCCAAGCCTTCAGTACCACCTACACAAAGTAATTCAGACTACCCTATGGCAGCTGACTTTGCCTAGGTAGTGTGCTTGCAATGAAATGATATGTAGTGAAGCACAACAAAGCCAGTGACAACATCCTAAAATAACTTGCTAGCATGTTAGTTTACTTCCACCCTTTGCCACCAACTACAGTTTAAAGGCAACATTGATCTATACAGCCATCCCAGAAGTGGATGCAATCTATGAATAATCAAGGTTGCTTGAGTTTTTTGGTTTTGTTGAAAAAGACTAATGCAAACAAGGTTCTCCAAACCAAAAAGTGTACCAAATACTTACATCAAGCAGCAGGATCCCTTCTTACACAAATGTAAAGGGTTAGAGTCTTCCAAAAAACATTTTATAAGTGTAGTTGTCTTTGTAACATTCATCAAGTATGTCTTCACCTGTCTGAATTATGCAGAGGTTCTGAAGTCTATCAATTTGACACCCTTCCAGATGTTTGATGCAAAAGTAGTAGCTGTCAAACCTATTTAAAAGGTTGAAGACAGAAAAAAACAAAGAAAAAGAAGAACCAAACTGCAGATGGATTTACAAGTAGAGGGACTGAAACTGGGAGTAGTGGCTGATAGACCAGAGGATTTCACTACCATCCAGATGGACCTTAACAGGCTGGAGAAATGGGCAGGCTGAAACCTTATTAAGCTCAACAAGGAGAACTGTGAAGTCCTGCACCTGGGGAGGAGTAACCCCATACACTACTACACGCTGGAGACTGACTGGCTGGAAAGCAACTTTGCAGCAAGTTGCACACAAGCCAGCAATGTGCCCTTGCAGCAAAGGCGGCTAACAGAATCCTGGGGTGCATTAGGAGGAGTGTTGCCACCACGAGGTTGAGGGAGGTGACTCTTCCCTTCTACTCAGTGCTGGTGAGGCCCCATCTCGAATACTGTGTCCAGTTCTGGGCTCTCCAGTAAAAGAGAGAAATGAAACTACTGGAGAGAGTCCAGTGAAGAGCCACTAAGAGGATTAAGGGCTTGAAGCATCAATCCTATTTTTTTTATACAGTTTTAACTGTATACCTAGCAGAGATGCTTTATGAAATTTAATGTAGGAGTTTTTATAATAGATCTGCTTCAAAAAATAAACTTACTTTAGAACACTAAGGCCTGAACAAGAAATCCTGTGCTTCATTTGCTTTAAATGAATAGCACACCTTGGAAGTCAAATTGGTAGTAGCAGTCAAACATTCAAAAAGAGCAAGTTTTCTGCAACTGACAAAAATGTACTATTAGTTTGGAGGATAAAAGAAGCTGGATTTTGCAGTAGAATTTTTACAGAGATTTTTGCATGAACTGTGCAGACAATGATTCATCTGAATTTTTCAACATTATTTCAGTAACTTTGCCCTCACTAAAAAGCACCAGTGTGTCATTATACAAGGTTTTAAAATGTATGTTGGTATTCTAAACACCGCTACATTGTCCAATGAAAGTCTGCTAGTCTTAAGGCAGCAGGTAGATTTCTGGAGCTGACCTTCAGTGCCATGTATACTGCAGTGATACAGTGGGAAACAGTATAAACTCCTAATAAAAAGAAGCCCTTGGCATTTAATGTTACATGTATATAACTATCTAGAGGAAACACTGACTGTTCCTATCAAATTAAGAAAGCCTGTATTATCAATAATAAAACCAATATGACTTCAGTAAAGAGTTTTCATGGAGTTTGCTATAAACACAATAGTTTCAGACACTAAAGTATATGCTGTACAGCAGCATCCAGCACTGACTGTGTAACTCAAAGTCCATTCTGCTCTTACGTGTCTGCCTCCCCACCACTATCTAACATAAATACCAAATCTTCAGTAAACTGTATAAAATACACAGCTCAAACATTTAAACATATGACCAAAAAGACTGTCTGGTCTCTTTTGTATCTGTTTCTTGGATATTCTACTAGTTAATGCCACTTTCTTACAGTGTATACTACACTTCTGCAAAAAGGTAACAAGATATCAAAGCCTCAGAAAGAGTAGAGAGCTTATTCATAGTTCATGTGATATTCCACAAGGCACTGACTTCTGAACTTACTATAAAGATTAACCAGACACTTCTATTTCTAAATAGCTTCCTTGCATACTAACCTTCAGTAATATCTAATCATGCTTCAGCATATAAAAACTGATACTTGCTGCTCTCAAGTCTTACCAACCTACCTTACAATGATTAATCATATTCTACAGACACAAAATCATTAAGAGAAATCCAAGAGCAGTGAAGCCAAATCATATCTGTGCAATAAATAGTCATGTGGATTAAATTCACTCAACAGGGCTTCTCAGGTGAACCTAATTACTATGGCATAGAAATAAAACAGAAACCAAAGAATCACTCTCCTTTACAACTTGAATTAACATGGCATTAATTATCATTTGATCTGACAAAAACAAAGTTAAACTGACAGGTTCTCTCATGCCACTTGAGTTATGACTGACACATGCCAAAACCATTTTAAGCCTCCTAAAAGATGAATCTGTTGTTTATGCGGAAGTTCTCTTTCATAGGGTCCCCAAAGTAAAATTACTATGCCATGACTGAAGTGGCTTAAGTCACTTGCAAAGAGACAGATGCCTCTCCTCCAAAAGCCATCATTTCACATGTAAATTTCAAGTTCTCATCTTTGGTTATTGCTAATCATCGGCTCCAATCCTTCCCCACCCTCACCTACAGCTGACAGCTGTGGTCCCTTGGAATTGCAAATGTCTTAAAGGATTTCTCACATCTAAAAAATGAACAAATGCTGTGGTTCAAGCCAAGGTGGAGAACTGAATACATGTATTTGCCCAGGTACAGCAATACTGGGACCTACTGCAAACCTCACCCACAGCACAGTTTGAAATCAGAACAGCTAAGGAGTTTGCAGTAACTTGCTGTCCCGCTGACAAACCTATCAGCTTGTGTCCTGTCCTCAGCAGTTTTCCAAGATCACCTGTGGGTGAATCTTAGCTACCCTCTGCAGGCATCTCCTTTGGAGTCTTGGGCCAATTTCTTTATCCCCTTCCCAAGTGGTAAACTGGAGCAACGGGCATATATGGAAGGGAAGAGATAATAACAAACAGACCAATGAATGAAACGTAAGCATACCTGAACAGCTGTCTTCCTTAAAAACGAACTTGAAATCTATTTGTCACACAGAAATCTTCCGTCCCACAAGCTCACTGCAGCTGGGATCTTGAATAGGTTAGGACACACTGAGAGGCAGATTCATTCCAATGCTGCTAGCTCCTAATAGACATTACACTACAGCAATGGCAAACAGTCAGTTGTAGCTCTGAAATAGAAAGTCAAGAAAAACACTTTGAGCTTTGATTCACACACAGCTTTCAACCACTCAGAGGGACTGGATCAGACTGGAACCATTTTAGAAAAACTGATGGCAATGGAGAGAACAGTCACAAACAGCAGTTCTGAAACAGTTTTCCATTACACTGGATGAATGTATTATCTGGATTAATCTGTCTTCATTTAACAGGCCTGAGACGGTGAGGAACTGTGGAGTGAAAGAAAGTTCATCTGCTACACACTCAGTTATTTCTGAGGGCTCAAACTAGTGATCGCTAGCTACTGTGGTAAGCAAGGTGATCTCAGGGGCTAGACTCCATGCTAGTTTCAGCTTTCAGTTTAAGACATCCAAGTGTTTGCCTGCAGACTTTAAACTCCCATTTCAGTCAACACAGATGCTATCAAGATTTCTTGAAGAGATGTTCACAGAACAGACTATTTTCACTGGCACTTCCAGGAGAAAAAACACAGATAGTAAGTTGTCTTCTCACCTGATCAGACTGGAGACAATCAGGCAAAGAAGTAGAGGAGACTGGCTATAGCAGACAATGTGTTAATTATATTAACATATATTAATCTCTACAGTTACAGAGTCTATGGAATATTAATCTCTACAGTTTCTGGATCATATGGCCTCTCTCCTCTTCCCGAATAGCATGCTCCTGTAAAAGATGGTTCCAAAATGTACACTTCAACAAAAAACCCAAAACAAAACACTGACATACTCCACAACTGTAATCAAAACAGAAACTTTTACAACTGTCATATTATTTACGTTTTTTTCTCCCTATACAAAGTAGAACATACTATACTGTTCCTAGACCATTTAGATTATTCTAGTCTCTACTGCAATACATGTTATATTGTACACGTCCCAGCAAGGTACCTCCTCTGACCTAGAAATTCAGAATAATCTTGCTGAGTAAGAGGTAAGCATACAAAACTTATACACTGCACAGTTATTATACCGTGCAGAAACCTCCCCCACCGCCAAAAAACTAGGCTCTAGGATCTGGGTATTTCTTTTTAATATTGCTATAAAAGGTATACCTAGGCATTTAGATTATGCAAGTTTTATCCCTTCTCTCTCCCTTTGCACTCATGAGCTTCTATGCTCATGCAGTAGAAGATTATCTTCTCTGTAACAACAAATATTTCTGGAATGGCAGGACTTTTACAAGACATGCAAGATGTCACATTTTAGAACTTCGGAAATCCTGGAAGATGGACAACAACGTTTGGTGACCAAAGGCAAACTGAATGGATTGCTCTCACAGTGGTTCAATGACCATTTACTGTACAAGGTTGAAAGACCTGAATAAGGCCTTTCAGCCTGTATAAGGTTGAAAGACTGAAGAACAAGTTTCAAACATTTTACAAATATTTAAATTGATGAATCAAATTAAAGTTTATCCAGACTTGGAAAAAGAGGGATGCTTTTTAGTCATTTGCATCTTGTTTTTCTGAACATGTGGAGTTCAGGACTATGACACAGCATGCTGCAGGACAAATATTCCAAAGGTTTTGGAATATTAAAAAAAAAAAACCAAACCACTTTTTTTGTTCTTTTGGGGTTTTTGTTTGTTTGGTTTTTAAATACAAGCATTCATTTAAGTCACCTTTTACCCAAGATTTTCCAAAACCAGTCATGCTCGGGATTCAACATTCCAACTATCCCTGCATGCAGCGAACAGAAACGTCCTCCCTGCCAAGCGCACATCTAACCGCCGATCGCTCCAGAACTTGCATTTGTTTTCATTTGCTCCGGAGCGTGCTCTGCTCCGTATCCTCTCTCCACGATTTCCACCCTAGAACGTGGGGAGTTGGCGGGTCAGCTCCAGCTCCGCGGGGAGGCCTCTGCGGGGCGCGCCCCCTCCCCCAGGCGCTCCTCCCCTCTCCGGGCCTGCTCACGTGACCACTCCCGAGAAGTGGGTGAAAGGTCGCAGCGCCGCAGCGCCGCGCAGGCCAACAACAGCCGGGCCTGCGGTGGGGGTAGCCCCGCCCCGGGCTACCGGCACCCCCAACCGCTCCAGGCTTTTCTACGCGGGCCGCGAAGGTACTGCCAACGCCAAACAAGAGTTTCCAAAGAGAAGGACCGCAAGCAATGAAGGAAGCGAAGTATACCTCAAAGCTAAGAGAAAAAAAGGGGTGTACCTAGCTTGTGCACTTTAACAGTTTCTGTTCTGGTTCTCAGTGCTAAAAAGCCTCAGTTGTTTGATGTTACAGTTTTCTTTAATCAAGAATAATGTTTTCTTCCTGGAAGAGACTCTTGAATCAAGGCTGTAACACCCCAGAATTTTAAAGAGCCCTCAGATCAACTTACCTTTCAAACCAAGCCACAGCTATGACAGAGCCTGATACCTGTGTGATCATATAAAGTTACATTTCCTAAACTAATAGAGATCCACATCATACTTACCTACAATATCACCTGTGCTATTATAAACTGGTAATTATTAGTTTATATCAGTATATCAATATGCTCACAACAGGAAAAGAACCTGCTAATTAATACTGAAGGCTACAATACTTTTTTATATAACATCCATTCACAATGGTCAGAAAACACATCAAAGAGCTTGTAGATCTGGAAATTGAAGAGGTCAGATACTCGGGAAAACATAATTGTTTAAGGAAAGGAGAATGAAGGCATTAGATCTTCCCCATCCTCAGTGCTACACTTCCTTATCATGTCTGTAGGAATGAGTAGTTTTCTGTGCTGTAATCTCCTCTAGACTGCAGTTTCAATACGATTGCCCTCTAAGTGCTGACAAATTGCCGGATAAGAGGAAGAATGAGATATTTGCCTTGATCCTACTTTGCACTTTTCTCTTTCCAAAAAAGGTGCTTCCTGTTACAGTTCCATCAACACTAGTACAGATCTGTTATAACTGGGTTATAACTGGTCATATTTTAGGTTGATTTTTCTATTTAAACCAGAAAACATAGCGCAAAATATGAAAGTTGTGCGAAAATGAAACAAAAAATGGAGTTCCGAGATGCTGCAAAAATCTTAATCTACCTTTTGCAACAGTGTAATTAGCATTCTCATCCAGTAAATCTGCCATGCCACGAACAAAATACACACAGGCAGAAAATGGTGTATCTCAAGAGCAGTTTGCAGTGACCGCGGTTTTTATATGTTCCACAGCCTGCAATCACATGAGCATATGGACTAGTCCCTCTCTCACACACACACGCAACACAGTATTTAGTTTACGCTTGAAAACCCACCGCTGATACCAAGCCGCGTGCACACTTCTACAGAGCTGAAACTCATCCTGGTAATGGGTCAAAGCAGCTCCACCAACCCGCGAAGCTGCGGGTCACCAGTGTCGCCTTCGTTTACGCGGCGTAGATTTAGTGAATCTTCCCATGTAACTCTGTAACACCGCTCCCCCTACCCCCATCCCCTCCTCCCCTCCGCTCCCTTATCTGCAGCAGCAACGCACTAAACCTCAAGCCATGGGAAAAAGCGAGCAGGATGCCAAGGACACCTTGCCTTTCCAGG